GGAACGATCACCAGCATGTAGTAAGTTTACTACTAGAAAGAGGTGCCAATGTTGACACGCAAGACTGCAATGGGAAATCTGCTCTTCATGCAGCTGCTTCCATCAAAAATCTGGCAATAGCAAAGCTGCTACTAGAGAAGGGAGCTACAGTTGACGCAGAAGACTTAAATTCGAGTACTGCACTGCACTTTGCAGTCATTCACAGGCATAAGCCTATAGTAGAAGTTCTATTAGATGGAGGTGCTTCTATTAACCAGAAAGACCGCAATTCAAATACTGCGCTTCATTTTGCTGTTCGAGCAGGATGGGACACATTAGTAGAGTTGTTATTAGATCGGTGCACTACTGTAGACGCAAAAGATGGTTCATTAGATCGAAGCGCTACTGTAGACGCAAAAGATGGGCAATCGAGGACGGCACTTGAGCTAGCCACACATAGCGGGCATTCCAAAATAGCGCATGTGTTACTAAACCATGGTGCAAATCTTGAAACTACAAACGAGAAAGGAGAAACTCCTCTACTGATTGCTTCGAAATCAAGTCTTTTCGAACTGATAGATTTGTTTATAAATAATGGTGCAGATATGGAAGCAACCGACATGTATTCCTTAACAGCATTGCATTCGGCAGCAAAAGATGGAAATGTTAGGCTTATCGATTTGTTGATAGCAAAAGGTGCAAAACTTGACACAAGGACGAATAACGGAGATACTGCACTTCATATTGCTGTTAAATTCAATCAGAGCGACGCTGCTACTACCTTGATCAAACATGGAGCTGAGATTAATGATGAAAACCAAGAAAAACAGACACCGGTTCAAATTGCTATTTTGCAAGATAATGCTGATTTGATGTGTTTGCTATTAAAGGCCGACAGTGACATAAAGAATCCTGGTGGCGACCAAATGCCACTCATAGATTCAATTGCAGACACTGGAAAAGTAGAATTTTTGCTAAGGGCTCTAAATACGATCGACAATGTCGACCAAAAGACCCTTTATATGAATAAGGCACTTCTCAGATCTTCGCAACATGGTGATGTTGATTTAGTAAAACATCTGTTAGACATCGGCGCAGATATCGAAAGCAGTAATCAATGTGGACAAACATCGCTCTTCTTAGCAGGAGAGTATCCGGAAATAATGGCAATGCTCTTACATAGAGGAGCTAGTATGCAAGCCTTCATAAACAAGAAATACGAACCTGCACTTCATTATTATGCTAGTCTAGGTAAAGATAAGGCAATAGCGGTGTTGTTGAGCCATGGGTATGATATACAGTCCTATCGAAACGGATATACAGCACTTCACACTGCGATTTCTGCAAATCAACCACAAGTGGCCACTCTCCTTATAGAAAAAGGAATCGACATTAATGCTGTAAACGGTAAGGGCGAGACAGCGCTTCATCTGGCAATCAAAAAGGATTTCCATGAACTAGTAAAACTGCTAGTTTATCATGGGAGCAATCTAGAAGTCAAAAGCTTCAACCTCTCAACAGCCTTAAAGATCGCTGTCAAAAGTGGAAATGAAAAAGCCGTTGAATTCTTGCTTAACAGTAATGCGGATGTTAATGGCAAACTGTATCTGGGGCGTACTGCACTGCATGTTGCAGTACAATACAAACTAGCAAAAATGGCCGCGTTACTAATTAAACATGGAGCAAATGTAAACGCTATGACGAATGGAGGACGAACCCCACTGTTCTCAGCAGTAGAAAATCAATCTGTAACTATGGTCAAAATGTTGCTAGATGGAGGAGCTTCTGTTAACATTACAGATATCGATGGCTTTTCGCCCTTAGTGATGGCCTTCCAAGGAAAAAATAGGTACAAGGATTTCAAAGATGACAGATTTCTCCGCTATGACCGCGAAGTAGTAGTCTTATTACTTACAGCTGGCGCTGATGTTACATGCTTACGAATATCCGAAGAATGGAAACAGAAACTGCTGTTGTGGCAAAGTACATTGAGGAATTCCACCATAAAAGCTGTCAAAATGGAAGCAGCAGGCTTGAACGCAGAAAAGGATATCGAACATGATACATCTGCTGTAGTGTTGAAAATCTTCAGTGACAATTGGATCCATAATTTTAAAAGTGAGTATCTTTCTGCTATGGATGCCATTATGACATCTCTAATATTTATTTCATCCGTATGTTAGCAAAACCCCGTCCTACCAAGAGACTGTCCAATATCAGACACAAGTACGGTTATGGGTTTCCGTCGTCTAGAAAGCTTCGATATCCTGAGATGAATTATCTTGCAACATCACAGTCACTAAAAGAGCCTTCGCAGACATTGAAGCTCCTGCATAGCATATCTATAGAGGAGCGCGCTAACACACTAATCGAGACCTTGCTCCGTATCTTCGATGTTCACTTCTTCATATCTGATCAATTTTTCATGCTACAATTGGACGATCAAATCAACACTAGATCTCCAAAAATTGCCTTGCCATTTGACAGAATGGACGGAATTATTCGAGAACCCGGTCGTTTGCTTGTACAGATTCCACCCGAGAGGAACGACTTGTTACCAAGATGGAACAAGTTCGAACGTCCCTATTTGAGATTCATCAGGGCTGTTTATGTTTGTAGAAGATTGTCTAACCGAGTAGATCACGACGCATTTTCTGAAATTCTTGGAGAGTCTGAAGCAAATATTGCGACGGACTTACATGCTATGTTGATAGCTGGTTTGAGCATCTTGAGTATTACTGATAGTGATGCACATATTGATCAGCTCGTAAAGGCCATTCTTGGTGAGAAAGTGGAGGATATTCAAGGATACAAGTCGATGAAGGCATCCTCAGATTGGCGGATTTTAAACCGAGTTAGGTGCCAATGCATGTCGCAGTTCACGCATCGCCCACTATCGCCCATAGCTGCTGCCAAAGCAGTTGGGATTGATATATGGCACACTCGAGAAGAGGAAATTGTAACTCGGGTGTGGGATTTGGAAAGCGATACATTGTTGACGGCAAAGAAGACCACAGATGTTATCTTTATTACCCATACATGGGCTGAACATGAAGTCGACTATTCGGGGGTAAAGGATTGCAAAGGCGGCAGACAAGGCAGCATCAGCAAAAAGTCAAAAAAGTTAAAAGACATTCGGACCGCCCTCCGTAAATATAAAAAATATGTATGGCTCGACACAATTTGTATTGATAAGTCGAATATGACCGAACTTGATGAAGCTATCCGTTCAATGCACAAATGGTATAAGAATTGCGCTGCTGTTGTTCTAGAATCTGGAACTCGGTTGGGAAATAATGGAGATAACAGTATTACTGGTATCCAAACGAAGACCAAGAACGGATGGTGCGAGAGAGGATGGTGTCTGCAGGAAGGGGTTGCGGCTGGTATCTTGTGTGGGATAACCCCCACAGGAGAGCTTCTCTCAATACAACAATTAGCCAAAGAGCAAGAAGTTAATCTCTGTACATTGGATCTCCACTTCTCTTACCGGCCGGGAAATGCTGCTGAAATACTCGCAAGGATGGACGCTCGAGAGACAACGCGGAAAGAAGACAAAGCGTATGCGCTGGCAGGTATATTTTCCATATACTTGCCTCTAGCCTATGGTGAGGGACTCAAATCTCGTGAACGACTACTACATGAATTGGCAATACAAGAAGGCGATCTATCTTTTTTAAGCTTTCCAAGTAAAGAAACTTCTTTCGGAAATCTCTTACCAGGTACAGACGATATCAACTACCAACTTGCAAATTGCCGGCAGTCATCAGCACCGGTGATGGTCAGTCATTTTGGCATAAGTTTTGAAGTACAGCTTGTCGAAGATGAAGGTGTAAGCAAGATACTAAAGATATTAAATGACTGGAAGGATCTGAAAATTGCGGAAGGCAGATTCGTAGGATTGACCAATATCATCGAAGAGGCAAAGGCGGGACAGCAAGAATATTCAAATTTAAAAGTTGCCATTGTGCATGATATCAGATCCATCATGCTTGTAATGGAATACGGTGAAGACTGGCAAACAGGCGGAGGACGACCCGTCAAATTGTGTTATCGGCTTCAATGCTGTCAAATAGAAGAAGACGAATTTGAGCGACTATTTGACGACGTGGAAACGGATTACGGTATCACAGCTAGTTTTGAAAGAATATGGCTTGGCGATAAACGACTCACTCTCAAGTCTAATTCTCGGAAAAAGAGTGTACACCCCAAAAGGAAGCGATAATCTTGTTTTGGCAGCGAACATTTGAATATAGAAAAGCTTTTCAGACGATGCATGAATGCATGCATAGTTAGTTAGAGGATGGTGTTTGTTGCCTTGAATCTAAAATGCTCATACCAAAAATTCTTCAGAAGCATTAATTACAGAGAAATAAGTAGTCCTTTCATACGAAGGATATAGAGTACGAGTGAACAATCGATTATTCAGAATAAAGGCAGACAAACAAAGTGCAGATCAATGAAGTATGTTTTGATTCTCATCACTCTCCATGGTTGATATTACAAATTTGACATTGACCGAGGCTCATGTTTGTCTTTTTTTTTTGTGAGAAAAAATGTAGCATATGCAAACAATAAAGAAACAAGTATAAAAGCTACGATATACTACAAAGTAGAAGGAATCTGTGGGGGAAAACAATCCATGAAAGGATAGGAGTTGGTTTTGACAACACGGAAATTTCTGTTTTCTTCTTCATCGACATTAGGTGCATGTCTATCTTTGAGCTTGAGGCTAAAAAGACGTAAAGTGTTAAGATACCGGTCTACACCATCTATGGCTCAATCAACACACATTCACTTACGCAGTCTCTTGAGAGATGGCCTTCCTGGTTGCAGTTGTAGCAAGCTCTTCTTTGCTCTTGAGTGCAGTCGCGAGACATGTGTCCAAAGTTCTAAAAGAAAGTATCTACGTGTCAATTTGACGATTCCTTAGGTGATCCGCATACATGACCCTTCTTCTATACTTACACCGCAGTTATAGCACTTGGAACCTTGAGGGCAATCACGAGAGACGTGGCCAGAGTCACCGCAAGAGTAACAAGACTTGTTGGCTCCTCCAAAGCTGGAGAAGTCACCTCTTCCTTGTGTGCAGTCGCGGCTGAAGTGACCAGTCTTACCACACTAAAATCCCAGTCAGTCAAACCATGCTCAATAGTTATGTGATCCTGTAAACCAAACTTACGTTGTAGCAAGCGGGGCCGGAGGTGTAGCCGTCTCTACCACCACCACCTTGACGGGGCTCAGGGCAGTCTCTGGACTAGAATAAAGGGATCAGGATTGGGTGAAAGGCATAACATTGATAAAAGCGCCTGGCAACTTACAAGGTGACCAGACTGCTTGCAGTTGAAGCAAGTCTTTTCGGCGCGTTCGTTAGGGCAGTCCTTGCTCAAGTGACCGGACTGGTTGCAGTTGTAGCTATTTCAATGTATGTTAATATTATTGCGTTGATGTAAAGTGATTATGAGATGGCACCAAATTGGCTTACCAAGTTTGACCCTTGGTGCATTCGCGGGCAGTGTGACCACCTTCAGATCAGAAAAGTAAGGGCGTTAGATTCAATCCCATTGAGTGGGTGCATTTGATTCAGCATACCTTCACCGCAGTTATAACAGTTTCTGTTTCGTGGAGCAAAAGACATTTTTGTGATGGATAGATCAAAGGGGGGGAAAGTTTCGCTTGATCCAGTTTCAAAAACTTTTTGTCATTTCAAAATTTCGAGAGGAAAGTGAAATGACAGTCCCAGAGTGACCGAGGGTGGTGGCTGTGATTGGTTCAACGGGTGAAAAAAATGCAAAAATGAAAAAAGGGAATCTGACCATGGGATGGACGTAAAAAGTAGATAGCGCATTGGAGCAGAGCATTTCAACACGTTCTTCCCAGTGAACTTTCAGTAAAGTGAAATTATGCGAGGTTTTTCTGTGGGCAGAGAAGATATTTCGCTGTTGGTCAGTGAGCGGCGGAGCCTCAAGCTTAGTTTTTTTTTCCACTTTATTTTCGGCGCGCGCCCAAGAAAATTCCCTTGTCCCCAAGCTTTTTTCTCTGCTCCTTTTCCTATTTCTCATGGCATCCAACAGAATCTACATTGGCCGTCTCAGCAGAGATGCTCAAAAACGCGATGTCGAAGACTTGTTTACAGGTTCAGGACAGATCCGTGATGTCAATCTCAAGAATGGCTTTGGATTCGTAGAGTTCGAAGATAACCAGTCTGCTGAAGAAGCTGTTACTAACTTCAACGGCAAGGAACTTTTGGGTGAACGGTGAGACATTGAATAGAAACTGGCATTTGCGAAACGTTGTGGGAGTGCGTATCGCGTATCAGGTACCCTTGTTTCTATAGGCGTTACGGTTGACTAACTGGCCCCTAATTGTTCCTTTCAGAATTGTTGTTGAACTTGCCAAAGGGACTCGACGTGAAGGAGGTCGTGACGGCGGCCGTGATGGTGGCCGTGATGGAGGTCGTGACGGACGCGATAGACGTGATGATCGTGGTCGCCGTGACGATCGCCGCCCTCGTAGAAACGATAATGGGTAAGTGGATGTTCATGTTGTCGGATGTAGTGAGCTGTGAAATAACATTGGCTCTGTCTTTTCTTATTTCAGTCCCCGCTACGGTGTCATTGTGGAGAATCTTGCTGTTGGTACTAGCTGGCAGGTATGCGGTCTCTCCTCTAAAACTCATCTTGGTTCTTTGCTATTGCCTGTTACTTGAGAGGATGATATCGACTACGCGACGATGATCGAAAAACCTCTGTGTGCATACTTGTTTTTGTTTTTGACCGGCTGGCTGCACATATATGACAAGTGATCGACCTTGGTCGCCCTGCCCTGCCCTTGGGGTGAACTCCTTATGCTTCCATTGACACTATCGCGTGCGTTGGAAAATAAGGATATTGGACAGAAGAGCGCCAACATGAGAGACAAAGCGAATCGATATTCACGTTCAACTGAAGCAACCGTTTTCTTTCAACTTTTCTGGATTCACTTCAAGCTCTTCATTCATGCATTGTCTATCTCCCGTATTCTCATCATTCCTTTCCCTCTCCTACTTTATTTTGTCTCTGGGCATACTCAGGATCTCAAGGACTTTATGCGCAAGGCTGGAGAGGTTTCTTACGCTGATGTCCGCCGTGACCGTGATGGTGAAGGGTGAGTGGGGGCCATGAAAAATGCATGTATGATAACAGCATTGACATCGTTTCATTTTTAGCATTGTGGAGTTCTCTTCTTATGACAGCATGAAGAATGCTCTCAAAGAGCTTGATGGCGTTGATCTCAAAGGATCCCGCGTGACGGTTCGTGAGGTAGGCAAACATTAATTTTCTAAACAGTGCAATTGGATGGGTTCCCCTGATTGTTTATGCTAAATTATTATCTCATATAAATTTTAAAGCGTCGATCTACTGTTCGTTCCCGCTCCCGCAGCCGCACTCCTCCTCGTAACCGATACCGCTCACGCTCTCCCAGAGACCGTCGTCGCGATGAGAAATCTTCTTCAAAGGATACCAGACGACGTCGCTCTGACTCACAAGAGGATGACCGTCGTTCTTCAAGAAGAGATCGTGACAGCAACAGCAGACGTTCAGAACGTAGAGATAGCGAAGAGTAAAGACAGAAAGCAAAAAAAAAAACTCAGGAATATTGCAGCAAATTATGCCATAGTAATTTTACTCAAAGCGTGTTAAATGCTTCCCAATCGTGTTAACCATGTGGAGTTTAATTGACAAACTGCCGATCATAAATAGTGAACCAGAAATATATATTAAAGTATTATTTTGTGTGCAAAAACGGTAGATCGGAGCAGAGCAAGCTGCAAACTGGGTAGAGCATTGGAAGCAGAGCCTGGCACAACCCTCTGCTTGAGCGGCGATTCGCTGTTGAAAAGACTCTTGTGCAACGGTTTCTCAAGAAGCGCCTCCTCGTGCTCTGTACAGTCGTACTAGACCAAGTCCGATTACAGCTTACTAGACGTTAATATAACTAGACTAGGCTGAATAGTTACAACCAACGTAGCCTGTAATAGAAAATTCATTCAAAATGCTTGTCAAAGCGTGAGCTTACCAATGAAGCTAATATCTTGACGTTGTTCGTTAAAGAAGTGTGTAAATTCATCCGCTTATAAAGCCAGCAAGCCATTTTTCTTGAACTGCTGCCCAATATAGCAATCGGCCCCCCTCTCAAGCATTCAAAAAAAATAGAGTCCAGGCTTGTAAGCCAAGGTGGCACGAAGACCATGATGAATTCCGGCAACAAACGACTTTTGCTTAAGATTCTCTCTTTTTCTTTCTTGCAAAAACTTCTTTCTCGGTTTCGCGTCATCTCGACTCCCTCTTCACCTTCGTTCTTTTATCGAAGCCGAACCAGCACCTCTCCTTTCCCGTCGCCGTATGCAGTTATCTCGACATTGATCCAGAGGATCGGATGACTAAAGTACACTTCATTCCATTCTTTTTTGTTTGCTTGCTGTTGGCTTTCATTAGCCCTCAGGCCTATGCCGCAGACGGCTTGCTTAAGGTAAACATTGGTACTCCACGGATGCGTGTTTTTATAGTAGAGCACCTTGTTGAAAACCTTCATTTTCATAGCGAGGAGAGACAACTGTATCCCACCTCAGCCATACCACCACCGGCAGCAAAACCACCACCAGCAAAATCACCCTCAGCAAAAAGCATACTAGCACTTTACACTCTTCACATGTAGTGACGCTGACTGCCAAAAAAACCGAGGCCACTGTTGTAATTTCGACAGCAGCCGCATACCATACCAAAGCCATTCAAAAGCTTGAAGCCGATATTACTACCGCCACCGACGAAGTGACCCATACCACAACTTCTGACCACCCTACCACCACCACCGATGCCGACAAGTCCACTACTACCACAGATGATGACAAGGCAGCCACTACTGACAACAAATCGGATGCTACCACCACTGCTCATGATAGCACTACCACTGATGATGCAAAGGCTACTACTATATCTTCAGACGATGACAAGGCAGCCACTACTGACAACAAATCGGATGCTACCACCACTGCTCATGATAGCACTACCACTGATGATGTAAAGGCCACTACTACATCTTCAGATGATACCAAGGCAGCCACCACTGATGATGCAAAGGCCACTACTGCATCTTCAGAGGATGATAAGGCTACCACTGCCACCACGGAGGACAAGTCTACTACTACTACTGCTACCACCACAGATGATAGCACCACCACTACCACCACCACCACTGACACAAAGTCCACCACAGCGTCTACCACAACGGATGCTGAGACCACCACTACTACTAGTACAGTTGATCCTACTACTACTACTACTACTACTACTAGTACTGCTGATGCTACCACCACCACCACCACTGATGCAGCTACTACCACCAGTAAATCAGCTACTGCTACAACTGATGCAGCTACTACCACCACTGATACAGCTACTACCACCACTGATACAGCTACTACCACCACTGATACAGCTACTACCACCACTGACGCAGCTACTACTACCACTGACAAAGCTACTACAACCACTGATACAGCTACTACCACTACCACTGATGCAGCTACTACCACCACTGACGCAGCTACTACCATCACTGATACAGCTACTACTACCACTGACAAAGCTACTACCACCACTGACGCAGATACTACCACCACTGACGCAGCTACTACCACCAGTGATTCAGCTACTACTACCAGTGATGCAGCTACTACTACCAGTGATTCAGCTACTACCACATCGACGGAAGACCAAACTACTGCCACTACTACTGATGCCGCAACCACGACCACAGAAACCGAGGCTTCGTCCACCACCGAGTCTGCGACCGAGACCACCACTGTAGATCCCGTAACGCCCACAACTACTCCTGAGATGACGACTACCGAGGCTCCAGAGTCTACCACTGCCACCGAGACAGCTGTCTTGACCACCACCGAGTACGAGATAGTATTTATATAATAGTATCCCCAGCATTGACCTTAATTAACCATTATTTCTTTTCATTTGTTCATAGTGCCTTGCCTACAACAACTTCGGATGCAGTCACTACAACATCGAACGTGGTTGTGCAAACGCCCTCTGTGATTCTGACCCCATCATCGACCTACCACTACCAAACTCTCTCATGGCTTCCTCCTAGTTTCAGCGTTGCCACGGAGAGTTTGATCCCCAGTACGACCGATGTTTCTGCCGCCGCCCCCACTACAACCGGTACCGTCGATAACAGTTCTCAAGATGTGCCGGCTGTCATTGCTCCCAACGCTGGAGCCATTATTCCAGGTACAGACCATGCATTTTATGTCAGCAGCGGCAAGATAGGCAAGTTATTAACCCGCCTTTTACAGATGGAAATACTCCGGTTGCGCTCAAGTTCAACTCGCTCTCCTACGTTCAAATGGTGGCTGACCCTCTGTTGACTGCTCAGTTCGTCCAGGCTATCCCGCTTCTTATTTCCAGTGCGGTGGATCTGACACCTGATCAAATCATTGTAGTGTCCATTATCAGTGCCGGCGGTGTTGGCTCTACACGACGAAAAGCTCGTCGTTCAACCGTCGGTGGTATTGTCACGACCCTGTCTATCCCCAGTGACCAAGTCAGTGATCTTCAATTGGCCATTCGTGACCCAACCAGCAGCTTGTACTCCATCAACAACGGCCAGCTGGCTACCCTTTTAGACACCACTTACCCACTTACCAACAACACTGACAGTAAGTTAGCAATGGCGCATGCATGACATGCTTTTGATGCATTGTCTGATTCTTTTTTCTCCATTGTAGCTACCTCCAGCGGCAACACTGTTACGGATCCTAATGGCTTGACCGTGGGCGCAGCCAACGCTAATACAACCACCAGCGGCGGACCTTCCCGTGCCGTGATCATCGGTTGCTCGGTGGGTGGCGCTACAGTCCTCTACGCCGGCATGACGGTGGTCGCTGTGCGCGCTTACCGACGTCGCAAGGCTAGGCAAGCAGACGAAGCTGCGAGACAAAATGCCATGTTTGCTCACAGTATCTCGGCCCCCATCATGAATGAAAATTCCTTGGGATTCACTCCTCAGTGGTAATTCTGCCCTCCCAACTATATATAACCTGCGTTGGTCCTTGACGCAGTGTCCTAGCCGATCTGACCGCCTTATACAGTATAACGTGTACGATTTAATGTATTAGTGCCAATCAATAAACACATTGCCATTTTGCCCACTACATTCCTATTTTTTTCAAATGTTTAATGCAAATCAAGTGTGATAGATCAAGAAGGAGCAAAAAAGACAACATAGTCAATGGACTAAGCGTCATGGTAAGGTGTGTGAATTGGGTGGGGGGGGGGAAATAACGAAGAAGTACTAGAAAGTGCAGAGCAAGGGGGAATACAACGTTGTCAATCGAGCGAGCGAGCCAGACATTGACGGAGGATGATATATACATATTTTACAATAACCTGGAGTTCACGGGGGTATCTCTTAGCTTGATTCGACTATTGGCGTCCTCTGGATGATCAGGCCAAAGAACCCTAGGCTTAAACCGGATTTGTTGTAAGTCATCTTCATCCTCGCTATCTGCCGCCGCCCAAGGGATTTCCGTCAGGTCGACATCTGTGAAATAGCGTTGCCCGCGGCTGCAAAAAAAAAAAATCAAATTAGACATTCACATTCGCTCAAAAAGACACTGTTTCAACTACTTACAATACATAGACAAGTTTACGTCCATCCTCGTCGTTTCGCGCGTCCGGAGGCGGTGGTTCTTCACAGTCAGAATCAACATAACAAAAGTCTTCTGATTTGGACGTGGGGACCATTCTTTCAGCTTTGGCTGGAGGGAGGCTGGAGGGCGGTAAGGATTCACAACTGTCAACTTGGGGTGGTGGGTTTGTGGTTTTAGACAGCCTTTCCTGGCGTCGCTGCTTGATCAACTTCAGTGCATCCGAAGCATCCAAAATATGTCCTACTCCACTGCCTTCATGTTCATCCGACCCATGATAGCCGTAATCATCGTTTTCTTCCTCGCTGACACCGACGAAATAGTCATATCCACTTCGAAATTCAAGATGCGAGTCCGCAAGGTGGGAGGTTTCGATTTTGGACTCTTCCAGTTGAGATATCTCAAGAGAGTTCTCAATGCCGGAGTCTTCAAGTTGTGAGATTTCAAGACGTGAGTGTTCATGGTGTGACATCTCAAGAAGCGAGTTTTCAGTTGAATAGCTATGGTCGTCATGGTGATCTTGCTTGATCTAGCAAGAACCATCAGCAAATGCTCCACCCTAATCTACAATTACACAAAGCTCGCTTACCTCTGATGCAGCAGCCAAAGCGCCTTTGGTAAAAGAGTATCGGTCGTTTGTTTCTTTCAAGCCTACTCTCTCAGACGACTCATCTGTGTATCTCGATTTCCAAGATCGTCGAACCTTGGTCGGTGGGGCCTATATAGCGTCTGAGTAAGAGGCTACAATGCACTTTCACAAAAAGAAGAAGAAAAAATAATCACCTTGTCTTCGTCTTTAGCAGCTGCATGAACGTCATCCTCGTCCGTCGTTGGTGCGTTTGAAAGATGCTGATGGCTATTTTCGTCGTTCGGGTCTGCTTTGCGTTTACGCTGAATAGGCTTACGTTTGGCGGTTGTCTTTCTGGAGGGTTTTTGTGCGGCATCGTCGGATACAATAACGCTTCGTGTTCTCAACCTGCGAACGACGACTTGTCCAGAAGAAGCTTTGGGGGGATGAGCAGCTGTTGTCATTAATTCCTCTGGTGATTCCTTGGCATGCGATTCATGATGGGCACGGTCGTCCTCCTCTTGACCCTTTTCTTCGTCCGCGATCTCGCTTTCGTCACTTCCATCGCCGTCATGGCTTTCTGGAATGAGCGAAAACAAAAGCTGAGAGCAGCTGGAATCTGGTGTAGAATTATCAGACGATGGCTCAGGCTTTTCTGACCGCTGGTACGTTGGTGGTTGGAACTTGGGAACTGGTACACTGAATGTAAACTGGAACGTGTCGTCGCCAGTGAGAGCGGCTAGGCGATTGCGACCGGTTGCCATTTCGGTGTCCAGACTGATAAAAGGCTGCCCACATTCCAGGAGTTGATTTTTCTTTTCGCGCCTTGCCCAGGGAGCAGTCACCCAGCCTACAACAATCACTGTGTGCTATTCTTTTTTTGACTTCGTGTTCTTGACATGCTATGACAGCAGCTATGGCCCATAGTATGCTGGCTGTTCTTCATTTCAATCCATCCCGCGTGCCTTAATGTGCCTGTCCTCTCATCAACTTACAGGTGACCAGGAAAGAAAGCAGTGCTCTGAACAAAAAAATGTTCAACACTGCAAACTCCGGCTCTCTCAATTTTCTTTTATCCTGCCGTTCATAATAATGTCATCCCAACAAAAAGTACAATCACAGGCATGTAGACATGTGAATTCAATACGGGCAGTATGCTACATCATAGAACTGTAAGCTCATTGTTTTTTCTTACTAGTTGAAGGAAATCGCAGTGATTCAAAGCGAATTGTCGTCTCTCAAGCCCTCAGCAGTAAGTATACCCAGTTCCGCAAAACCACACTCTATTTCCACTCACACCTCGCAGGCTGTATATGAACGCAAAGTGCATGGATCGAATATTTTTTTCCGGGCACCAGACCGCAACGAGGTGACTAGTTCGTACAAAGCCAAGCAGAATCAGCTTGAAAAACAAGTGTCCAAGAACCAATAGTTTACAGTTACCCCCCAATGTACATAGAATAATATTTTTTGGTATGTGCTGTTTACTTTTTTACTAGAGTGCAAAAAGGATGAATTGCGATAAACAGATAGGTTACAGCGATTTGAAAGGGAATGACTACACTGTATGGGAAAGCGCAGTTGAATGACGGAGGAGGCGCTGATCGAGCAGAAAGAACATGCCGATGCAGGCTAGAGAGGCGCGCGGTGAGCCATGGATCGAGGGAAATTATCCTGTAAAGGAAGTGGGGGTATGGGATTGGAATGTGTCTTGAGAAGGTGGGGTGGTGACATCGACCCTCATAGATCTATCGTCTGGGCTCTGGTAGTGTTGAAGTTCATTCAGGACCTACAGAGTATAAGTTTTTTGTGTGGATCGGGAAACCCATCCTACTTGATTGAGCTCAGCTTACCGATGCATCCATGGGTATCCTGGATTTTCTACGCAAGTGAGGGTTGGAAGCTGTATCAAATGAGCGCTACCAGCCAACTATTAATAACTACTTACGTCCACATAGACCAATTGTGTGTTCAACTCACCATATCCTGGTCTAGACCGTCGCTGCCCTCCTCTCTATATTGCACGCCATCGTTTGAATTTCCGTTTGCACTGTCTGTGTAAGCGAAACCACATCAGCCCGACGGATCATCCAGAATAGGGCATTTCCTCAAACCTTACCTCTTGTAAACCCTTGATGGTAGCCGGCGGACACTGGTTTAGGCATTTCCGTTGACAAGCGTTTTCCTCGCTGTTCTCTTGCATCTGACTCTATCATTTTCCAAAACAAGGTTCGATCCTCTCTTTGTTTTTGTGACCTAGCCAAGCGTCAGTCAACATTTTTTTTGGGGGGGGGGGGAGAACATGGATGGATGACTCACTTTTGAACTCGTTCATTATACTCGAGTGTACAGCTATCGTACAGTCTTGGACTTATGTCAGCAAATATCTTTAAAGCATTATACACGGAGCTATGTATAGCTCTGCAGGAGGACAAATTGAAAAAGGTTACTACGTCACGCGGGCCAATGCTAAGCTAAGAAAAATTTATGATTTTACCTGTTCCAGTGGGTCTTTGTATTCTCATAGAGTGCAGGAAACATGATGGGCATGATCACATCGATATTATCCCCCATTAAATTGACAACATATTCGTTGTTCCAAAATGCCAGCGCACGCTCTGCAACCTGGAGCAAAAAACGGTTAGTCAATTTCATTGGTAACCACGGAAACCGACTGCGGCCTACCTGGAAGTGTGAACTAGAAACACATTGGGCTAATCGTTGGAAGAGCGGCTTCATCACTTTTTGAAACTCATTAGGTTCGATTAAATCCAATATTTCTTCAATTTCATGAAGGAACATGACTTCTTTGGGGCTGTTAATCTTTGGCCAATACCGCAACAGACCCATGACAACCTGCCAATTAGAAAACTAGTTGAGCGACCTAATATTTCACTTGCGTCACAGCTCCCCGTTTCATGCTATACCTCCTCGGTCAAGGCTTGATCCTTTTCTAAGAATTGCACAACGCAGTAAGCCAGCTGCGGATGGTACAATGACAATGACTTGACTTTATGCAAAGGTATCAATACTCTCGTCAGGAATGATTTATGCTCTTCCTTAAGAGGTAGGGCAAATCCATTGATGATACTGTAAAGGATTGACAGTATAGGGTTTAGAATTCAAGGGCATGATCCCATGCATTTCCATCCAGTGCTCACCTTCCAAGGATTTCTAGCAACTCGGCAATCCCATTATGTCGCTCTGTTTCGTAGATAAACTGAAAAAAGATGTTGTTGATGGACCTTCTGATGAATGCACGAAGATTGAGAAATTTTCCATAGATGCGATGTAACGTGGTTTTGAGGAAGTCCCGCTCCCTAGGATCCTCGCTATCAAACAGTTCAAGGAGCTAAAGGATGTTCGAGGTTTAGTATGACGCACGTCTAGGAAAAACCCTACACCCACTGATCTCTACCTGAAGTATGAACTTTTGATCTATGTAACGCTTTGAAATGCTGGTGTTGAAATCTGGTGACTCCACAAATCGTAAAAAGAATTCATACACCAACTGTAGATGCGGCCATGCCATTTCAAGTACAGGTTCATCCTCCTCTGGATCAAAGGCATCGCCCACAGGGTTGACCTGCGGTGGGATGGTGCGAAATAGATTGATTGAGAACTTTTAGAATAAAAAAGAAGTTTAGTGATGTTAGTACCGTTGACAGGTATGAAGTGAGTTTACACAAAGCGTACCATTCGAATGGCCTCTGGATAAATCGGATCTACAATAGCCCCTTTGGTAGTGACAATGTAGTCTATCATTTCTTGCAAAGCCTGCCGTTTAATCTCCTTTCCTTTGAGTTGGGATGATGCATCGTTGAAATCAAACACCACCTGGCATTGTATCAATTTTCTCAAAAACAGTTCATGGCGTTGGTGAGTAGGAACCTCTGTAGAAGGGAGGTGAGACAATGTATCACACGTATTCACCTCCAATGTCGAACCTACCATTGAAATTGGGTAATTTCTCCAATTCTATATTTTCTTGAGAATAGAATCGCGAGCTTTTTTGCCTTCTCGGGGATTTACTAGCCGGAATGGAATCCTTTGGTGTAGCCTTGATTCTGTTGATAGAAGCATTTTTGATGGGATCGTTGCTAGGCTTTCCAAGGGAAGGAGATTTTGAGGAAGGAGAATGCGTTGGCTAAACGAAGGGAATATAGGTTAAAAAAAATTTGATCTGTCAATGAGTGTGGCTGAATTAAATAAGGGTGCGGTCAACGTACCGGATCAGGAGTAGGTGTATTGGTTATTGAGATAGCGGGTAGGGTTGGCTTGTTAGAAGGTTGCTCAGTGATTTGTCGTTGAGCGGGTGAATGGACGCCAGTAGAGCGTTGCTTTGAATCACTGCTCGTGGTAGCGGCTGGCGGATTGACTTGCGATGGCGTCGAAGAGGATTTCGACCTTGAAAGCTGTGCATGGAGAATGAGGTTTAGAAAAATCGTTCGATGATTCAAGGTTACGACATATTGCCCAGAATGGTCTATGCCTAACAGCGACACGTACAACTCCCTTGAGTCCTTTCATCATGTTCTTCAGTCCTCTCTATATAGAAGCTTAGATCTAAATGGCTGATGGCTTATGTCGACCTCGGTTGGCGTTATGGCGGAATGCAGTGCAATGGTGGGGGGAGTAGCTTCGATCACAGTCAAACACACAATGCCCCAATGACGAGCGTCTGAACAAAAAGTGAGAGAAAGAGAGACTCAGTTTGAAGGTCCGTTCGCTGTGGTCGAACCGAGTCATGTGACTTCAAGCACACCCTCCCCCCCCAATCCACCGCAGCCCTTCATCGCACCCGTTCTCCGAACCCATGACTACGCGATCTATATCAGCAGACGCGAGCCGAGCTTTTGTTTGTGCTTAGCACATTGGCGCAGTTACCTTCACACTTTTTGATCTCCTTATAAAAGCTGCTTCATAGCTGGGTTGCTCTTTTCTTACCATTTCTCTACTACCATGATACTTCTTGCCGATATACCTCAGTATTTAAACCAAACCATCACTACGCTCGAACATTACAGCGAACCTGAAGCATGGATCCAAATTATTGGCCCTCGTCTTTTTGCTATGCTAACCCGCTATTTGAATAACGATGTGGTCATTGTCGGCTTTGGCGTTTATGCTTACTGTAAGTACCTTCATCGACTTTTTTTGTTTACGAAGGATCTACAAAACTGATGGGTCTATGTAGCCGTACTTTATGAGGTTTACCTAGCAATGTACCAAGCCGCTTGGAACTGGCTTTTCACGTTGTTCTATGCCACCATCATGATCGAGCATGGTGACCCTATCTTTGGCTGTGTCAGTGAATTTTTATCGGAAAAGACCAGTCAACTGCCTAGGCTCAGCGAGGCCGTGGCCCGTGCGCAATGGGAAGGCGACGAGAGTGATGACGAAAATGTAGCCAATCCTCAAAGGCCCAGCGTTGTCCTTGGCCCACGTGAGTGTTTTTATTTTATTTATGTTTATTATAACTGCTGAACTCACTGTTGGTGGCAGCCCTCGGCCAGGTCAATACCATCACCTACAAAGGCTATAGATTGGAGGTCAGTCGCTACAAGAGCAGCGATACCGGTAGTAACTACGATGACATGTTCAACCGCTTCCTTCCTCAGACGGAATATATCAGTGTTCGGTGAGTGGCTGGGGTGGACTGGGTCACGCATGTGGATTAACTCTAATTTGTTGTTTTTGGGGAGCAGCATACGGTTTGGTAGCATGGCCACCCTAAAGGGGATCTTGGAAGAGTGGAAGGACAGATATTATGATAAAAAATTTGGAAAGGTAAGCGAGAAAGTCAGGGCATGACATTGAGTTTGAAATAGTTAACCTAGTGATTTTTCCCGTAGTGCATTGTCTATCGTTACCTTTTGCAACGTAAGTCTCTTTTTGACTGTGCCACAGCTTGACACCCAATCTAACAGTTTCTTACAGCTTGGGGTCAATGGGAATGTAAGTGCCATCGACCATGCCGTGAACATCAGTAAATGGATGGGCTTACGCTTTCTATGCATAGGGGACGCTTCCATTGTCAAGGTGCCTAGACGCTTTGAAACCGTCGTGATGAAGGAGGGTCAGAAGGAGGCGCTACTAAAAGGTAGATCCATGGGAAATAAAATTGGAACTGGGCCATTTAATTCTAAATAACCTCTTATAGACATCAAGTCGTTCCTTGCTCAAGGCGAATGGTTCCAGAAGAGAGGTATCCCATACCGTCGCGGTTACCTACTCCATGGACCTCCAGGTACTGGCAAAACGTCTACCATCGAAGCCATTGCGGTAAGTCCCTATTCGACAAGGTGCATACAATGACCTGGGCTGATATAGGATGGGATTTTCAGGGAGAGCTCCATATGAACGTGTCCATCATTAGTCTTAACAATGAACTTGATGATAACCGGTTCTTGTCCTGCTTACAACACAAGCCTCGCAATTCCATTCTATTGATTGAAGACGTTGATTCGGTTAAAATGAACACGAACGATGAACCGTCCGATACCACCAAGACTACTAGCGGCGGAATCTCTCTAAGCAGCTTGCTAAATGCTTTGGATGGCATCGTTGGTCAAGAAGGGTCGGTGGTCTTCATGACGTGTAACGATACTAGCAAACTTCCACCTGCTTTGTTACGCCCTGGTCGAATCGACATGAAGCTGCACATGGGGTTGGCTGATGAGTTTCAAATCCGCCACATGTATAAACGATTTTTTGACGAAAGTGCCAGCCATGACCTCGAACGACTTATCAAGCTACTCCCCAAGGAGGAAATTGCTCCTGCTGAGCTTCAGAACTTCTTCATGATGTATTCGCTGCAAAATGCAACGAAGAACATCTGTGACGGTGTGGATGATTTCCTCGAGGAAGTTCGCAAGGACCGTGAACAAGCTAGACGCCATGCCGAACGCATGAAGCAGAAGAGAGACATCTACGGTAATTTATCAAGTGATGGTACACCCCCACCCACCCCAACTTCAGACGATGAATTACAAAATCTAAAAAAAATCGTCCTGAAGGTAGCAGAGAACGGCCACCTCTGCTTGGCTCAATCTTAAAAAAAAACCACCTCTGTATTACATTTGTTATACTCACTATTTCGCATACATTTTCATGGCCTCTCACTACACTTAACTTTCACAACCACATCCCATCCCATCTAAAAGTTCACGCCCATCAGGGTTTGTCTGCTTTCTTTTAAACCATCGCGCTATTTTTTCTTGATCAACCATGATGTTCTATAAAAATATTCCACTGCAAACCTAAATGAATGTGTTTATTTTTTGGCGCGCGTTGTCAATGCGACGTTTTCTACCAGCACGATTTGTCTGTTCACGAGTGGAACCTCGCCTTGTCCCCCAAAGGTTGCTCTGCACGCAATATTTCGGTCGCCGGTATCCAATCGTCTTTTTTTTTTTTTTTTTCCCTCTCGCTTCTTTCTCACTCTTTTTTTCTCTCGCTTGCCTCCCGTCCTGTCCTTTTATTATACGTTTTTGCATGTCACTGTAGTTATAGTTATCAATCAGACAAGCATTTAATGCAAAGTACTTCCACCAACCTCTTCAAGGCTCAGGAAGCCGAGAAGCCTTTAAGTTTACATTCATCATCAGATTATTCACCATGCCAAGGGCAATCCCCTCCATCTCGGTCATCAGCATCTATGGACCCATCGTCAAAGATACCCTATCCTATCAACGAAGATAATACACCTTTTTGCCGCAGCTTTGTAGAAGAAGAAGATGAGGAAATAGTTATACCCTCTACCGCTGTTCGAAAACACTTGGATCATTCTCAGCCCAAACTATCGGCTTATCGACGATCCTCCACGTCTTTACCCAGTACGTTGTCCAAGGCTCAGTCCATGGATGTTGTTCGTCAAAGAGATCAGTATACCATTCAAGATCATTACTCCGTAAAGCCTTTTGACCAACAGAATTCCACAGCGTCGTCACCTACCCCACGAAAGCGGAGGGTATCGGGGGAATCATCTAAATCGATTCAATCCAACTATTCCAATGCATCCATATTTGGATCAGGAGCAAGCATAAATCGATTTCCACAGATAATGAAGTCCTCCTTTGGTTCAGTCAAGCAGTTTGTATCAAGATCAGCGTCAATTTCCACATCATCAAGATCTAGATTTAGTCTCCGTCCTGGCGACAAGGCAAGCTCATCTACTAGCGTGCTACAATCCGTTCAGGAGAAACATTCACCTCAGCCTACGTTTAATTCCATCTCCACGCCTACGCAAAGAGGCTCCAAGATATCACGCTTCCGGCATAGAACATCTAGTATCATCGACTTATCTACTATATTTACGAAACCGAACAGCCCCCACCATTTTGCCGCGAATAATGTAGGCTCCAATGGACACTCGTCACCCGACGGTTCACCTACCGATCGTCGAGTTGCTCCCAAAATCACGATCACCCACCAACAGCAGAATGATACCCAAAAGGTGCAGGATCCAAGACATCTTCAATCCATCCACCGCTTACCGCATCCCCTTGAATCCAATCACCATAGGATCATATCGACTCACATCGACGAGTACCATGGATTTACTGATAAACCAGGTGGAGTTGGGACAATCTTGTTTGGGAAAGAGATCGCCGACATAAACATGGAAGACATATCATCGGATGTCAATCCGACTATCCAACCCAAGATCAATGATGTGCAGGATGCCAGTCAGGTACAGTGTTTTCGGAGGTTCAAGGTTGAAGGTGTGGTACTAATGGCATTTGCACTTTTAGCAACTTGAAAGGCTCGCTCTCACGGGGACAGCAACGAGCAAAGTGGATGCATCGTCGACGCTAACGAACCGGTATGCCCAAATGCGGTCAGACAGGCGTAGACGATCAAGCAACCTGGGTCTTGGTTCTATTCTTATCACTGCTACCTTGACTACTCTGCATAGTAAAGTATGCAGCGAGTGTGACCAGTTGTTGGCATCTGTTGTACAACAACAAGGGAAACCAGACGCTCCGTTTCCTATGGACAGCTTTCAGTGCATTCTGGATGACTTGAAGAAAATGACCAACATGATTGAAGGGAGCCGCTACAAAGACCAACTCAAGCAGCGCTATGAAGCTTTAGTCAATCAATTCCAGGACTTGAAGGCTAAAAATTCGCCGGTCAAGCCTTCTACGAAAGAACAAGAAGATGTATATCAATCTAATTTACAGGATATCAAGAGCTTTGTAAGTTTTCGGTGGGGGGTTTTTTATATGACTGCCTTACCATGTACTCATATGCACCCCGTCCTGTAGATCTTTGGTATCAAGCATTTCGGTAACGAGTGCTTAAGTCAGCATTATCAATTTAACGAACATGCCATGATCATTCCTGCCAAAGGTTTTTGGATAGAAGGAACCAACAAGTATACCGACCTACCAAAATCCATATCGACTACGCCGGATGAAACCCTGCCCGATTACGATGCGTGTGAATTGGAGCATTATGACCACAAAGCAACCTGGTTCCGAACTTATTTCGCAGGCCAGGATTACTTGACCCTCTGCGGGAGCTCCGTGGACAACCCTGTCCTCATCACTATCCTTGAGGAAATGCCCAATGCCAGTTTGAAAGAGTTGGATTCGGAGGAGGACGACTCCCCTTCTGATCAAGATACCCAATATCGTGTCATTGTGCGCAAAACCACGGTAAGTAGAGGGGGGCCCATGGTCTCTGTATGCAGTGTTCGATTATTGACGTTTTGGGTTGTAGCCACCGGACAGTCGAACGCTTGTTTCCAGTGCTCATTTGAAAGTCGGGTCTTCTGCTGCAAGTACGGCCTCAGCCAGCAGTGTCTACAATGACTTGACCAGCATTTGGCCGTCCATTGTGTCCCTCGTGGATGCCAGCATCGATACATCTGTTCTTCAGGTTGTCCACTCCAAAACTCTACAATCAAGTGGTGTGGAACAAAATATCATTCGCTTGGATGAACTTGGAGTAAGCCATCCGATTTTTTCTTTTAAGTATTTGTAACTCGCATGTCTAACTGACATACCCTAGGTTCATAATCGTTACAAATTTGGTGTATTGGTGGTGAAAGATGGTCAGACAAAGGAAGAAGATTGGTTTGCCAATTCGGAAACACCAGATGGTTTGGAGCGATTCTTGAATATTGTCTCCAAACGTGTTGAGCTCCAGGGTTACGAAGGATGGTCAGCAGGACTGGACACTCGAAGTGGTGACTCTGGAACCCACACCTATATCAGCATGCGAGACGATGCTACCCTGGCTTTCCATGTTTCCACCCTTATACCATCTCGCCCAGTGGATAAGCAGCATATTCAACGCAAACGTCATATTGGAAATGGTGGGTCTACTTTGAAAATATGTCCAGAGCTTATGTCGTGAGGGGTCCTAACGTAACTTTTTTGTGTTCAACAGACATTGTGTGTGTTATTTTCGTCGATGGCCGACAGCCTTTTAATCCAGCCGCCATTAAGTCGCAGTTTTTACATGTTTTTATCATTGTTCACGAGGAGCTGGTTGATGATCGACCTGTTTGGCGGTAAGACCCGGTTCTTCATGAGTCAGAATAAGATGATCGGTTCCTAATTCTTGCTTTATAGTGTGGAGGTGGTTGCCAACGAGAATGTTGGCAAGTTTGGCCCAGCGTTACCACCCAATGGCTTGTTTTACAATTCTGACCAGCTAGCATCGTTCATTCATGTCAAATGTAAGATACCATTGAGCTATGTTAGAACCATGCAGTGTCTTTGTTACTGACATGGGTGTTCTCCTTAGTGATCAACGCGGAAAACGCCGCTTTGAAGTCACCTAAATTCGCAGCGCCCAACGCACGAGCTCGAGAAGGCATTCTTCTTAATCATATCCAGCGCATTATTGGTCTGGTGCCCGCTGCTAAGAAACGCCATACGAAGTCTCCATCGACTCTGTCAGACCCCAGTGTCAACAGCCAACGTGCATATGATTCTGTTGTAGGACTGGAGTTTAACCTACCTGACAAAACCGCCAAGGTGCGACCCAATGCACTTCCGGGGATGAGCCGTCGACGCAGTACCCACGAGGCCGGTGGCTTACGTGTGAAGCCGTGGATTTCCCGCGGTAAGAAAGGCAAGGGCTATGGTCGAGACCAAGGTAAATAGACGCAACGGCGGCATACATGCTTTTATGAGGGTTTCTATTTACGATTATGCTACCTAGGCACACATCGCCGGAGTCGATCGGAATTGGATCTGCCCGTCGCTGTAGAGCAGTCGGTGCACGATGTGACTTTGCTGGATGCATCTGAACAAGGTGATCGCGATGGTAAGCATATTTTTTTCCGTTTCATGTATGCCATGCTAGCTTCAGCATACGCACTACTTTGGGATTGAATCACTGACTCTTCACTGTAGGGATTCGAAGCCGTGCACAGACGTTATTTGCTTCATTACAACAATGGGGAGGTCGCTGGAATGCCTCACCCTACCGACCTCATGCAGATGAACAAGAACTCGATGGCAGGTCTCCATCTGAAAACGTCTAAAACTGGAAAATACGTCTGGAGTCCACTCCTTTCTTACCAAGATTGCAGTATAATTTTTTTCTTTCCCATTGTTTTTCTTTTTGAGTTAAGAAAAAAGAAGGGTTCGTTTGCAAATGATCTCATTCCCCTTTGTTGGCATCAAAATACTTAAAAATATTATCACTGTTTAAGAAACGGAAAAAGAATGTGCTAGAGACGGACGGCTCTACTGTCGGTGAAATCAGTAATTTGCCACTAAATAGACAATAGACCTTTCGATATGGGAAACTGAGTCTGATGACAAGCTTGATGGACGTCAAGTATGTGAGATGCAAAGAAAGGACTTTACCGTGCATCCATCACCAATAGGAGTCAGAAGTGACATGTTGTCAACCAACCAAGCCAAGCCATGAAACACACAGTGTCCACTCCACTTTTACCAAGGGATCTGCAAGATGACACAAGAGCTAGTCAAAGTGTCAATTCACTGCATATTCTGCATATGGAAGGTTACGTACTAATCTGTTGAGATTGACCTCACGAATGATTCGTTCCCAATGGACAATTGTTTTTCGTAGGCCATTCCCATGACGTTTCTACAAACCTATCACAAACGAACCATAAGATGGCGCACTCAGGTCAAATTGAAATATTTGGTCAGTATTCTTATTATGTTACCGATGGGATATGTTTGGTAAAGAAACAAAAGACCATGGAAGACGACGACAGAGGGGACTCGGAAGGAAGAACACTTTGGCCACAATCTTGTTAGTGTTTGTTTAAATCATTATTGTCATTTTTGATCCTGAAAAGATGTGTTTGGAAGCAACCTTTGCCCTTGATTAGGGTAAATTGAAAAAATAAAAAATTAGCCAGGCCACACACTTTACCGTAGTGGCTGGCATGGGTGTTGGTTCGTCTCCCCCCCCCATCACCGATTTCATGCGTATTGTATTTATCAATAGCGCCGAGGAATGGACAGAAAACATGACAATCTAACGAGGGTTCTCAAACATTAAGAGAATGCAATCTAACAAGCCAGACATCAAAAAGCAAAAGAGTAATGTACATGCTCGATGGGAAGTCGCATAGAGCGTGAGCAATCTAGCTCAATTCATACCATGGCATGGGATGAGGTAGTCCCTACCAGACGTTGACACTCGATTCTTTTTACATACATCACTTCTTTCATGCCCACCATCATATCATATTGCAGACTGATCCTTAACTTCCGATTAGTGCACCCTTTCCTGTTTTTTACTTGTTGCATATCCTCTTATCTATTTTCTTTCTCTTCGCATTAATACAAACACATCTCTCTTTCACTTCTCTTTCTTTATTTTCACTTTCCTACCCTTTTGTTTGGAAAGAGCTGACAATCTTTTTGTGCAACATTCCCTTAAATATTTTTATATAGTTGTTTCATTGTCCTGAATATTGCACCTCTTCTTTCTTGATCGCCCCTCGCTGAACCCGGTTCTTTCTATTCACATCATGACACAGCAGACATCCAATCCGTCTCAATCCATGCCACTTAATCCTGTGCTCATGGGGTACCCTACCAACGGGTCTTCTCAATACCAAGCCAATTACAACTATAATTCGGCAGCTGCCTATTACCATGCCCAGCAACAACAGCAACAAGTAGCGCAATCTCCATCCCAGCACCATCAAGCAGCGGTCATGAGTGCTGCCGCTGCTGCCATGTTCAACGACAATGACCAATACCCTACTTATGAGGATTTTCAATGTATTGTACAAGAGTATCTCGATAATTTGAGCCCAAAGAAGAGAGACAAGGCTTTAGTAGACCAACACCGCTATACATTAATCTTGCAAGTACTCAAGGATCCCCGCAATACGGCCATCTCAACTGCGCAATTCCGATTTTGGGTTAAGAAAATGTTTCAACTTGCCCCTACCGACACACTCGATATTGTTTGTCACGACAATAAACCCGTGGCAATGCGAGAACAGATATATGAAATACTGGTTAGAGCTCATAGAGAAGCACATCATGGCGGCCGAGACAAAACGTCTGCTTTGGTAAGCAACCTATTATTTTTTTTGGGGGGAGAGGGGTAGCATTCCGTACCGTAACAGTGAAAAAACCCTACACACATTCCACACAAACAAACAACAATCCTCATCTAAATTTTTTCATTTCCTTCCATTCCACTTCTACACTAGGTACGCCGTCGGTATTCATGGATACCCAAAGAATTGATTGCGCGCTTTGTACGGAATTGTCCATTCTGTATATCGAGGCGAAATAGCAGCCAAAGCCCAAGCATCGGTGCCCCCAAGACGCCCAGTCCTACCAGCAGTTATCCTGAAAACAATGGTGTTCCATCCTATGTCTACGATGGATCCCAAACGTCTCATTTCTTACGAACGCCGTTTGAAGACGATGATTTATCTTACAAAACCTTGACTCCTGAAATGGATTTTGATTATGTGCCTACTGGACCTCAGTCCAACACTTCATCCGTCGTCGTAGCCGCCGCCGCGGCAGCAGCAGCGGCAGCAGCGAATTGCCATGGTCCAGCATCCCCTTCGCAACACTATATTCCCGACCCATTCGGGAACACCAACTACTATTATGCATCTCAGCAACCGCCATCGCATCAAGCGTTTGCTGCTCAACGTCATGCTCAAGCTTCATCACAGCAGCAGGATCACAATGACCAGCAACGTAACAACCTGGCCTATGCTATGGTAGAAATGGGTATGCATCCATTTGCTTCGTCGGAAAACTATGGTTATCAGCAGCCCTATGGTAATCCTTACACCGATATATTGGGCATGACGAGGGTCCCACCCCAGGATGAATGCTTTCAAGACCTCTCCAGTGTGGGTCGTCCAGCATCAGCTACGGCTGTAGCGGGAGTTGACCTCCTGTCACACCACCGGTTATTCCAGTAACCTGTCAAATTTTCGCACCCACCCCACCATTTTGAAACCCTCCCTCATGCATGATACCACTTCGTTTACCTTTCGTCCGTTTTTTTCTACTATTTCTTTGAATCATTACTGTTCTTTTACGAGATCTCTTTAGAGATCATACACCAAATCGTTTCATGGATTTTCAACTCGTCAAAAAAAAAACCCCCCCCAAAAAAACAGAATGGATCATCCTCTTATTACTGCTGATTTGATCTACCCATAATTCTACCTTTCTCTATCGTCTTTGTTTTTTTCCCTTCGCTTTCTGCGAGTTACCTACGATTTATGTAAGTACTTTTTCTACATTTGAATGGTCTCTTCTGCACCTATGCTCTTCCCATCTTCGACTTTCTTCTCCTCTCCTCTGTGAGGAATTAGATGAACTTGCTCTCTCTCTTCATGTGTGTATTTTAGCGGTCCAATTTATATAAAACATCCCTTTTTTTGTGTTTAATTTTGGCAGTGAAATCCTACTCGGAGATTCCATTGAAATTCAACAATTTTTTTTTTCTATACCAAAAAGTTGATCCCAGCATTGTACTTCATTGACATGTCCGCCGCCTTGGAGACCGCAACGGTCCCTGCCATCACCACCGAGGACGACATTTCGGAAGATTTCCCCCATATCAAAGCTGATCAGTGTCTGTTTCTCCAACTGCCTAGTGGCAATGTCAAGCAAATCACACTCAAGCCCGACACGTAGGTTAGCGTTGGTTAGATCAGAGATGCGATCCCGCTTCTAACGTGGTTGCTTTGCAGAAAAATACCGCTTGGCAAGTTCGGTACATTCAAGGCAAACGCTCTGATCGGCCAGCCGTTTGGATTGACGTACCAAATTCTCAACAATAGCGGTGACATCAAGCCTGTTCGCAATACCGCATTAGAGGACATAGGTAGGCTTGAGCAGTGGGGATGTCTGCACCACTGTACTGACTGACCAATGCATCTTTTCTGCCGGTGTAGAGTCGACTGAAGCCAACAATAGAGAGATCTTTGATAGCAAGGATGCTCAGAAATTGACCCATGAAGAAATCGAAAGGATGAAGCGCGAGTTCCCTGATGAGGCCGATGAGGAAGTAAGTTATGGGTGGATCGATAGAGCACATTGAATCGGCATTAACGCTTGCCATCACCTTGTTCAGAGCATTATCAAGAAGATTATCGAGTCCCACTCCTCCTTCGAAAAGAAAACCGAATGGTCCAAGGCCAAATATGTACAAAGGAAGAAGAAGAAGTAAGTTGGCGTCTGCATCGTATAACCCTCGATTTTTCAACACTCATCCATGTCTTCTCAAGGTTCTCAAAAGAATTCACTCCCATGCGACCCACTTTATACTCTGTAGCAGAATACTTTTTTGAGCGAAATCCAGAAAAGATTGGGTATGTTAACATATCCCAAGATTCCCATTTTGACCCGTGGCTTGCCCTAACCTTGTACATTTGATTCACCCTACAGCTTCCTTCGAGTGGATACACTTGCACAAATACTCAATTTTGCCAACGTCCACGCTGAAGCTCGGTACTTGGTGGTCGACGACACCCAGGGTTTGTTAATATCCGCTGTCGCTGAACGTATGGGAGGCTATGGACAAATCATGGGAATCCACGATGGCTTGAGTTCCAATTACGACGTTCTTCGATATCACAACTTTTCAAAGCGTATCTTGGATTCCATTTCCACGCTGCCTTGGACTATGGTCGATAAGGACGAACCGACCAGTGGTAAGTATACGTCTAGGTGCGTGATCCCAGAGGGCCTTTCACTAATCAATACTTGCGTATCCATAAGATGGATGGGTGGAGTTCACTGAAGAAGAGTTTGAAGGGTTGACTGATAGAGAAAAGATCAATTACACCAGAAGAAGAAAGACTGTAAAGCGAATAGAAGCTGCACGAGCTGTTTTGAATGAAGGAGGGTTTGATGGGTACGTACATAGCGCGCGTCCTGGCTGGATGATCACCTCCCATTGACTTTTCTATCCAGGTTGATTGTCGCTTCGCAATACTTGCCAATGTCTATCCTAGACAGACTCCTGCCTTTTGTTGCCGGCTCTCGTCCCGTTGTTATCTACAATATCAATAAGGAAGTCTTGATTGATGCCTTCCTCCACATGCGATCCTCCAAGGAATACGTTGGTGTGCAGATGACGGAAAGTTGGCTCAGACGGTACCAGGTTCTGCCTGGCCGAACACACCCTGAGATGACCACCAGTGCTGGTGGAGGCTACATCCTCTCTGCATACCGCACCTTCGACACACCTAATCCCCACCTAGATGCATCGAAAACCGAAGAACAGAGTGAAGCCAAGAAGGCCAAGACGAGCCAATAGAGCTACTTTTTCAAATCATAATAAAAATATATATACATAAAAAGCGAAAGATGTAGCAAATTCGATATATTTCGAAGTAGTGGTTGGATGTAAGGCGGCGGGAGAACAAAAATTTCGTCGCGTTCGTGTCCAGCTTGATTTTCTTTGTCTAGCGAACGCGTTTTTTATAACTCTCCTGCCATTCGCCATGAATGCGGTACACAATATGAATACACCGGTGAAGTCACATAGTCAAGCGGTAAGTATGGCTTTGCAACGTGTCTCTCTCTCTGTACTGCTGCTCATGTTCCTTTCGAATCACCCTAGTCCGATGCCAGTTTTCATACGCCTTTGCGGCCGGCGGCCAGCTCTGCCATACCGCCAGCTCCCCAATCCGCCTACGTCGACTACACGCCGCGCCATCTCCACCCGCCGTCTACGCCCGCGCGTCGCTCCCAGGTTCAAAGCTACATGGATTCCCCCATCGTGCGACGACAACTAGGGGTGAATGCCGACGTGCGGTATATCTCCCCCGAGCCAGCCGTGGAGCAGCAGGAAAGAGAGATGACCATGCTGAAGGCCAGGAAGACCGCTGACTGGTGCGTGGACGACTTTGACGTGGGCCAGCATATTGGTACGGGTAAATTCGGACGAGCGTACATGGCACAGGAAAAGACAAGCAAGCATGTTGTCGCCCTCAAAATCCTGCAAAAGGAGGAGATCCAGACCGCTCAAGTGTTCCCTTTTCTGAAGCGCGAGATTGAGATCCAAGGCCATCTACGGTGAGTGCAGTGACCCTTTTGCCGCTTCGCTTGACCAAGTCCTCATATGAACCTATCACCGCAGACATCCAAATATCTTGAGATTGTATGGTTATTTTCATGACGACGAGCATGTTTACATGGTGTTGGAATATGCTTCGAATGGTGACTTGTATCAGCTGCTGCGAGAGAAAAAGCGTCTGAGTGAGCGTCAGACTGCATTGGTAGGCTATCTCACACCTATGTTTGCCTAAGTCCACTTTACTAATTTAGGGGAATGGTACCTGCAGTACATGGTTCAAGTGACCGATGCCCTGATCTACCTTCATACGCTGAACGTCACCCATCGAGACCTCAAGCCTGAGAATGGTAAGCCGGGGAGAACGAGCGCTTTCATGCATGTACAGACTCTCTTATTCATTTTCTTGCAGTCCTCATTGGCCAAGACGGCCGTTTGAAACTGGCGGATTTCGGATGGGCCATTCACGACCCTAAGCCAAGGTAAGTCATTCTGAGCGGCGTTCTATACGACGATGGACGTGGGCAGTGACGTTGTTGCATGACAGACGCCGAACCTTTTGCGGGACGCTGGATTACCTTCCCCCCGAGATGGTAGAGAGCCAGCCGCATGATCAGCAGGTCGACGTGTGGTCGCTTGGCATCCTGTGTTATGAGCTATTGACGGGGGCGCCGCCGTTTGAGGATCTGAACGAAGGCTACACCGCGACCTACGAGAGGATTCTCAATGTTGAATACACGTTCCCGCCCCATGTGAGCGACCTTGCGCGCAAATTCGTTCAAAAGGTACACACCCTCTACTGCCCCCCTCCATGTTGCATGATTCACTGACTCCCTCCATCACAGCTGCTGAAAAAACATCCACAGGATCGTTTGGCCTTGAGTGAAATACACCATGATCCATGGATTTGCAAATACATGGCCAGTCAAACCGCTCGCCACCGCAACCACTAGATACCCCTTTGTCAACCCCATTCGTGTGTATATTATTATAATAATGTGTGTGATTTATTTGGAAAAAGAAATAATAAGGAAAACCAGAAAATATTCCACATTAGCGGAATGGGATGGGGTGGCAGGATACGTACGATATGGGAGTGACTTTTTCTTTTTTATCCGGGGGGAGTCGCTATTTACATGATGATCTGAGGTTCAGTGATATTTGCAGCTATGCTCTTGTGGGGAAGAATAGAACCACCGTTGACATAGATCTCATCCTTGATAGTGACATCGTCACCGAGGACAGAGTTGCCTTCCACGCGGGACCATCTGCCAATGGAAGAGTGCCATCCGATAATGCTGGAGTGGACCCACGCAAAGTCCTTGACAATGGCACCTTCAAGGATAACACAACGTTGCAGACGAACACCATCGCCAATCACACAGTTGGGTCCAATGACAACGTTAGGACCAATTCGGCAGTCCTTACCGATCTTAGCTGAAGGGTCAACCAAGACATTACCCTTGTGAACATAGTCGCAGCTGGGGCTGGCAAGCATTTCAGGTTGGTTCTTGGCCAAATGGGAAAGGTATAAGCAGGTACCGATGAGGAAATCCTTGGGTTGACCGACGTCCATCCAGAAACCTTCCAAATCGAAAGTGTGGAGTTGACCATCCTCGGCAATGAAAGGGAAAACTTCCTTTTCAATGGATGTAGGCTTGAGCTATAAGGGGGATGACGAAATGAGTCCAAGCTGTTTTGCCAGCAGAAACACACACACACAAATAGTGTTACTAACCTCAATGCGATCAAGAACAGAAGGGTTCAACACGTAAATACCAGCGTTGATCTTGTTGCTGATAAAAGTCTGGGGCTTCTCAACAAAACGCTCAATCTTGCTGGAGTTGGCGTGGTTGACAACAACACCATACTTTGAAGGATCATCGACCTTGGTGACAATGATCGTACCCTCACCACCATGGGCCTTGTGGAAGCTGGCAAGCTTGTCAAAGGGATAGTCGCAGATCACATCACTGTTGAGAACAAAGAAGCAACTGTCGTCCTTTCCAAGGATTTCGCGTGCCAGAGCAAGAGGGCCAGCTGTACCAAGGGGCTCTGTTTCAACGGAGAAAGTGATCTTCACGTTGAACTTTTCTTCATACTGCTTCAAAACAGCCACCATGATTTCTGGTCTGTAGTTGACAGCAAGGACAATATCGCGGACACCAGCCTAAATGGAATGGGTGAGAAGATGATGACGCAGCATGCAAGATGATGAGAATGCGAGATGCTTACCTTTGCCAAGTGTTCGATCTGATGAAGAATCATGGGCTTGTTAGCGAATTCGACCAATGGCTTTGGGAGGGTCAAAGTGAGAGGTCTAAGGCGAGTGCCAAAACCTATCAGGAAAAGGGAGTGAGTATGCAGTGCAGTGTTGTTGCCCAACCAACGAAGGGGTGGTATTTACCGCCAACGAGAATGAGAGCCTTCATGATGGTTTCAAAGTAATGGAGAAAGAAAGAGTCAAGGGTTTCTGGATGGGCGGGCGGGAAATTGACTCTTTTATAAAAGCGAATTTATTTTTTTTTAAAATAGAAAAAAAAATATGTACCCAGCGGGAATGAATGCCGTCACTTTCAATCTTGTTCATAAGCTTCTCGGTTAATGTCAAGTGAAAACGGAGGTCAGGGAGATTGCCATGCCTCAATATGCTTCTGCTTGCTTCTCTTCAAGGCGGGAAACCAGTCGTTCTAATTTCATCCCATCCACACAACCCACTTGAATCTGATTTCCGCTCTTTACCGCTACCAAGCTTTGATCGTCCGATATCCACGTCTTGACGGAATTTGCCTGTGGAATTTTTATAAGCTATTGGCACCATTCCAACCTTTTCAATAAAAAAAACCCTCTCTCTTACCACACGCTGCATCTTGCCTATTTGCCGCAGCGTATCCATTTCATTCTCATCATCCAGAGTGATCCAATGTGCAAAATACACATATAAGGATGGTGGTACACCCGTCTCTGTGGTGGTAAAAAAAAAAAAAAAAGTAGGACCATGTAAAAATAGGTGGTTAATTGCCTATGGTTTGTTTACTTGCCGATGGAAATGTTGAAAAAACTACTGACTAGGTACATGAAGCATGTTCACTACATACCATCTTTTACGGTGGTTAGCCAGGTTAAGTCGCTTCTATCTTGCACATGGCCTGTCCTGAGTCGTTGGCAGTGATTTGGTCCGCTGTCGGAAAAAGAATAGACAAGATTAAGATCGTCCAGTTGTTTAACATCGTGGACTGGGTCAATTTGGTAGGTTGCACACACGTCGATCTCCACGTCAACCTGGAGTACGGCAGCTGTGCTTCGCCTAGTCAAACCGCTACTTGTCTGTAATTGAACGTTGTACAGTGGGGTCCTAGTCATCAAGCCAAACATATAATTTTGTTTAATTGAGGATTTTCAATTAATCGATGAGTCCGAAATTTATTGGGTGGGTTCCTTACTTTAGCGTATTGCGGACACGAGCCCGTACCCAGATCACATCATCGTTCACACTATGCCAAGCGGTCAAAGTGACCTGAGCACTCTCCTGGCTATGTTCGACGGCGGCTACTTCGTCTGGTGCAGAGGTCTCCAGTAAGGATACCAGACCAAATGGCCGTCGTCCGGGTTTCCATCTCCTGCGTTTTATGGCCCCATCCGTAAACACGCCCTGAAAATCCCTTTCAAGCAGTGCATGGCTTGACTGTACCAACTGGCGCTTGGACGTCAGTAACGTTTGTGTCTTGCGGAGCTTGAGCTTTTCAGAAACCAGTTGCTGCTGTAAGGAATTGAGCATGATGTTGAGGTTCTGAATCTTGTTATCTGGTAGCAAGGACCGATGAGAAACGGTGGCAGACAATGCGGCTTGTTGCATCAACATTACCTTGATCCATAACGATACGAACGCTATCGACCCATGAACAGATAGGGAATGCAAGTCAGTGGAGATTCCAGCAGAAACTAGGGATTCAAAGACGTGAATAATTTTTTCTAATTTTTCGCGTGGTGTCCAAGTGACTTTACATGCCCAACGCGCGCAGTGCATAGAGTCAATTTGAATTTCAGTTTATTAACTTCCACACTGTGGTATCTGATGTTTTTGTCTTTGTAGCGCAAGAAAAAAATAATAGAAGAGCTACTCATGTCCAGGCTTTTTTTTTTTTTTTGGATGATCCAGTTCGACCCACTGTTCTATGGCAGAGTAGCAGCTTTGAAAGCTTCAAATGTCTTTTTGGCAGCTCCTCCATACACTGACTGCTTAGCCTTTTCTACGCCATCTTTGTAGTCGCTCGCAACACCACCCACTACTAAAAGAGCAGCAGCGTTCAAAAGAACAAAGTCAAGAATGGGGTCGCCTGCAGGAAGTTCGCCATTGAGTAATCGCTCAAGAATGATGGCGTTCTCGTGGCAGTCGCCTCCTTTCACCTCTGACAATGGATGTGTCTGCAGTCCGAAATCTCTAGTAGGGTGAAGCGTCTGTTTGACGATCTCTCCGTTCTCATGTAATCGCCATACCTGATGAAACGAAAGAAGGTCAATAACTTATCCAACACATCGCCTGACACAACCATCCATACTTACATCAGTCTCGCCAGCAGGACTGATCTGAAAACGGGTTGTCAAACAGGAGAGTCAGTCAAAGTCCATTCAAAATCATCCATCCCATGTCGCCACACTTACCTCGTCTAATTTCTCAGCGCCACACACAACCATGGCTTCCTTGACACCCGTCAATCTCAATGCGTTGGCCATCAACAAACCAATACCGGGTGAGTGAACGCCTGTGATGGTTCGAGCAGGTCGAGCAGGGTTGCTCATAGGACCTAACAAGTTGAAGATGGTGGGGACACCAATCTCCTTGCGTGTAGCAGCAACGTTCTTCATGGCAGGGTGATAAGTTTGCGAGAACAAGAAACAAAAGTTGGTAGTGTCGATGATGTGAGGCACTTGGGTTGGTGTAACGTTGCTAATATGACAGCCATGAGCTTCCATCAGATCTGCTGAACCGGATTTGGAAGATGAGGCACGGTTACCATGCTTAAAGAGATGGCATATAGATTTAGAAAACGGTGGAGGAAAGTATATATATATGGGATTCAACATTCACCTTGGCAACTTTGGCACCGGCTCCAGCAGCCACAAGAGAAGCTGTGGTGGAGACGTTATACGTGTTGTGACCGTCGCCTCCCGTACCGACAATATCCACCACACAAGACTCCAAGTGAGCGTGTTCGCTGTAGTGTATTGGGAGGGCAAAAGCTCTCATGGTTTCTGCGCAGGCAGCCACAATCTCGGCGTCAAGGTCTTTGCCCTGAAGTTTCAACCCGATTAGAAAAGCGGAAATCTGACTGGTGGTGGCATGGCCTCCCATGATGGCATGCATGGCTTGAGCGGCCTGCTCAGGGCCGAAGGTTTCAGGTTCGAGCACAAGTCTCTTGATGATCGATCGGATGGACACTGCTTCCTCAGTTGATTTGGCAGCCATTGTCAAGGTCAGGATGAAGAAAAGGAATGAGGGTTTGTCTTGCGTTCGGCCATCACTCATTGACTCACATTTTTATTGATTTACACTCCGCCGCATCTGTTTGTCCTGGATTTCGCAGTCCCGTTTCTTCCCAACACTTGCCCATTACTTCAAGCAACCAACCAGGTAAACCTGATCGATACGCCGCCGAAACTGAGGTGACTGTACTTACGGCTAGTAATGACATTCTCGCTGTGCACTACACTGAAGCATAGGGTAGACTGTGAAGAATCTCAACGGTTCTGCATTTGCACCAAAGGCATCGAATTTCTTACTGAAAGCATAATGTTACTTTTATGCTCAAGGCATACCATAAATGAGATGTCACCTTCGCTCAAATGGACGTTCCCATCGTTAACGATATCCAGCCAAAGGTTTGCTCTCCGACGGCGTGCAAAAATGTTGGCCGTGACTGCCTCAGCGAACCCATTTAACAGCCAAAATTTTTTTCCTGCTCTTGTTTTCTTTATCGCTTCGGCCCTTGAGTCCTTTTCCATGGGGTGTACGGCCGCAACTTCGTGTTGCTTAATTTTGGCTCGACCCCACTAGCGCAGTGCTAGTGATTGGACAAGCTTGAGTCATTCTGAAGCAAGATATCTATACCTCCAGCTTACTTTCCCGTTTCACTCCTTGCCTACCTCACGGTATTCCTCAGGTGGAGTTTTGGGCTGTGCTGGGGATATCTCTTGCGAGCTATATAAAAAAAATGAAATATAAATAAACCACGTTGCGCAAGCATATAGAATTTGGGTTGGATCGATGGATGCCGTAAAGGAATGCTGTACGGACGCTAGATCACACACTTTGTATCGCATGATGGTCGTATGAGCATAAACTATCCAATGATAACATGAGGGCTTCACCCGAGCCTCACTGGGTTGGTAAATAGCGCGATAGGTGAATGAGCCTTGACATTCAATGTAAAAATGATTTATATATTTTTGGACAAAAGTAAAAAGTAAAGGCTCGTAATTGCATTTCTAGTTTACACTATTTTCTCAATGGCGCAACCTTTATTTCTTCTGTTAAAAGTGAAAAAAAAAAAAGTTAGAACACCATATTGAAGACAAATCATCCATTCACAATCGAATGCTTTACCTTCTGAGCTTCTTCCTCAGCCTTGTCACGAGCACGCTTCTCACGGGCACCGAGAGTGCGAGCTTCGGAACGAGCATAACGCAACTTCTGGAAAGCCTTGAGTTCCTTCTCTTCAGGCTTGATGGCACGGGCTTCCTCACCAGCAACAACTTGCTCAATAGGAAGAACAGCACCCTTAAGCTGAGAAACACCGGAAACATCGGCGGCATCACCGTTCTTGGGCTTGCCAGCCTTGCGGGGGAAGACGATCAACTTAGCCTTGTAGGCCTTGAGGCGCTGAACGTTAAGCTCAAGAGATTCTTGAGACTTGTTGCGGCGACGGTGATCAACGGAGATACCGATTGTGAGGGCCTGCTTGCGGTTGACACCAGCCTCCTACAAAATTTCGAGACCGTCAATACCAGACAAACGAAAAAAAAAATATTCGTCACAACAACATACCTTGAGCTCCTCAAGAGTGAATCCACGACCAGCACGGAGCTTGGTGTTGTACTTGATGGTAGGGCAACGGACGGCAGGGCGGAGAAGGCCATCGACGGGTCTAGGGGCGATGCTAGCAGCCTTCTGGATACGTGCGATTCTTCTAGACTTCTTGCGGCCGGGTTGATCGAACCAAGTCTTGACACGGCGCTGCCAGTCCTTACGGAAATGCTGGTTGGGCAGCTGATTGTTGTGTTTCAAAACCATTGCTCAACTGTGTGTGATGAAGCCAGCAAAAAAAAATTGTTGCGAATTCCAAGGTTAAAAGATGTTGTAGGTCGCAAGGGTGAAAATATTAAAGTCAACGTCCAGGACATAGAGGGAGAGGGGAGAATTCATATTGTTAGTGGAATGGTTCTAATGAGCAGGCAGAATTTGCATCTTGGTCAATCTCCAAATTTCGTCTTTGCCAAAAGGTGTTGGTGTATATCAATCGAGCATCCATCCATCCATTGTCGCATCTATCCCATCGCTATATACCCATCACCATCATTCCCTTCATAGATAGCACTGTGTGTACATACGGATTTGATGAAAAAGAGGACGATACTATTTCGCTGAGGTCTTCACCTCATATCCGCACTGACCGAACCCAAAAAATCAGTGATGTCAGCAATTGGTTGCCAGCCAGAATAAAATTTTAAAATTAACAGTAAAAAAAAAAAAAAAGCCCACACACAGTTGCTTCAGCAAAAGGTAAATCAATGTTGCCGTGGCAAAGACTTTGCTACTCTCAAAGCGCAAGCATTGTGATTACACTGTGTTGTTGAATGGATTACTTTCTGTATATGATTCTTTAGAGGCTATTTTATGCTGTCACTACTAGTGAATATTACCATTCTATCAGGGGCTTTAAAGGACTAAAGGCTCAAGTAGGGTAATGCTCTGTGCGAAACACCAAGCTATAGTAATAACTTTGTGTGCTTCTACTAGCGGCGTCAAAATGGCGATACAACTCTGATTTTCACACCATACAAGTAATGAAATAAATATCGCGTTATGGTGATATAGGTGGCTGTTGATCACCTATCGCCAGACCATCGAGCCTGCTCCTTAGAAAGGTCGATCACAATGACAATGTGAGTACGGCAAAGAGTGCCAATATCAAATTGAATGATTCAGGAGCGTAGACGCAGACAAGTTATTTGACACTCTTATGATGCGCTAGTGTAGCCAAAAGGTCGATTCTAGATGAAAAGTATAGCCCCGCTTACAGCATATTTGTAAGTAAACTGGCCGACGCCCGCAACAATCTACAGTCTATCGAAATAATCATTACATGAATGATCTCAATGCTAAGCCTGCATATTGGCTGGCTTCCCAAGCCATGGATTATTCCGATTTTATGGTGACGGTCGCCATGAAATAGAACAGCGTCCGCCAAATCAATGGTTGGCCCATAATGGAGTATTGACATAATACCGCCACAGACAGCATTAGGAACGGATGGTCGTTCACTAATGACTACAGGCTTGTTCCGGGCGGGCGCTCAGGTAGGGCGATTTATTGTCAGGCAATAAAGAGACTCCGGATACTCACGTATTGGTGCTCTGATTTTGCCAATGACCCCCACATTCATGACTGTTCGTATTTTAAGCATGGCGCGCTTTGTCGGTAACTCTAATGTCCAAAAGCTAAACATAAACAAAACGTCTTTCACTACGGTCTCATCGTATCCAAAGACCGGTTTCTGGGGCCGGCGCCAACGCCTTTCCACCATTTTATGAGCAGCCAGCTACCTCAATGGAATTAGCCCCATAGCCACGCCGAGGAAAATGTGGGACCCCACAGTACCTGTGCATAGCGCCTTGACTCACACGCTATGATCTGATGCAGCAGTCTACAGTGGTAACCAAAACAAACCAAGTGAATCATATTCTGCATAAATGGTTTTTCTCTTTTTTGAAATGTGAGACCTGCTATCTGTTTAAAGATTTCTATGGCGGGGCCACAAATACAAAGAACACCGCTTTACCTGATATTCTCAGGTCAGCCAGCATATGGTTGCCACCTCGATCTACTGCCTTCGGACAGAGCCGAAGTTGTGATCAAGGAGCTTGATTCAAAATAGATAGGCAATTTGGTATATGAAAAAGTTTTAAACATGGTCTTAGCCGTAATTTATTGACACACACTGTCATAGCAGATCAGGAAATGACGAAAAATTTCCAATGAAGTAGGTATGTGGCTAAAGCCACCACCCGAGAGTGTTGGACCAAGCGAGATTTCCTCAGGTTCCCATTTGCTGACAAATTTTTAACTTGGCGGCCAATGAAATGAAACTTGCCAGTTTGCTTACAGGCTTAGTGATTTGCACTATGCCTTGTCCTCCATATACATCGACAGTGGAGGGCACATTATCATCGAATAAAGGCGGTATTGAAGGTGTAGAGATCGCATGGCGTGTTTAGCAAAAAATGTGTGTTGCCGGCCAACTTTTCGATTTGGGACTTGAGGTGACTGATCCAGCTCAGTGACAGTATTAATAATCGCTCCATATGAGCCACAATATCATTTATGAAAAAACTGCACGCTGGAATGAAAAAAACGTACTTTACGTTGTTATAGAGAGCACAAAATACATCTATACTATCTATTAATGCTCATCAAATGGTGATGCCTACCTTCACTTGCTCTATTATTCATCATGATCGGTCAAATCACGTGATTTGAACGTTAGTGTAGTCCGTCTCAAGAGCGGGCGGAAATCCAAAGGAACCGACCAGCCTTTGTAAAGAGAATTAATCCTTCCTCTTACGACTCCAACTACCCATCGTCATTCATCTACTACTTCTCTGCTGAGCATAACAACAGCTCTAGCGAACATAGCAACACACTTTTAGAGTTGATACCACCTCAGTCAGTATCCATTCAACCATTCACCAGCTAACACCATTTTGATTTATAAAGCAAACTCCAGCTAACGACTCACAATTTTGAAATCAGACTTACAAATCAATCGCTCAATTACAAAGAGTAGCATGGAGGTAAAACCTTTCTAGAGTCTTACTTCTCTTCTTGTCTCTCTTATTCCATCTTACTCACGCACCCACCCACCTCTCCCTTCATGTCGTCGTACCTCCTGGCTTATCAGGCTATTCTAGACTTCGACAATGAACTCGATGTCAATCTACTGGATCGAGTCATTGACACTTTTTACGCAGGAGCTGGCACAGAGGTATGACCTGTTTCATTCAACGTGTATTGCTTCCTTTTCAATGTTGTACATGATGTACAGCCAATATTTATTCACCTAACACCAAGGTGTTTTTTTTTCGCCGTCGTGTAACTGATTGCCTCATTTCTAACGTTTATTTTGAATACAGCAACAAATGGCTCAGCACCTGTTGACGCAGTTTCAAGATAATCCAGAAGCATGGACCAGAGCCGATTGCATCCTCGAACGTTCAAATAGCACGCAATCAAAGGTCAGTATGCCAATGCCTTTTTTTTTTTTTACAAATTTCCGCAGTTATCGTTTTCGAGTTAGTCATCGCAGTAAAAAATTACAAGCTGAACACTAACGAAAATACATTTCTCCTTCCAACCGTACTTTTATGGAAATTTCTCAACAATGACCATAGTTCTTCGCGCTTCGAATCCTTGAAAAGTTTATACAAACTCGTTGGAAAGTCCTACCGGCAGAAAGTAGAAGCGGTAAGCCGAATCCAGTAAATCGCCTTATTTGGTAAGACAATTATTAATTCAATCCTCCAACCACCAGCTATTCGCAACTTCATAGGCAATATCATTGTTAAAGTCTCATCTGATGAAGAGACGTTTACAAGAGAGAAGACGTATGTCAGAAAACTCAACATGGTCCTCGTTCAGGTATGACATAGCCTATTCAATAAGGCATTTATGTGCCAAAAGAACATTTTCCATTGACCATTTTATTTTCCTTTGGTCTTACTGTAGATCCTGAAACAAGATTGGCCAGGTTCTTGGCCAGGATTTGTTCCAGAAATTGTTGCTTCCAGCAAGAGCAATCTAACCATCTGCGAAAACAACATGAACATATTGAAGATCCTCAGTGAGGAGATTTTCGACTTTTCTGAACAAATGACGCAAGCCAAAGCAGACAGTCTTCGAAAATGCATGTGCAGTCAGTTTGCTGCCATCTATCAACTTTGCAAAGAAGTCTTAGATTGCGCCAAGAAACCCGAGCTTATCAAAGTTACTTTGGAAACACTTTTGAAGTTTCTTAGCTGGATTCCACTCGGCTACATTTTCGAGACCGACCTTGTCACCATTCTTTGCAACAAAGTACGTATTCATGCATGTTACTGAATGTTGTCATTTTTACTAACCCCGCACATAGTATCTCATCTGCCCAGAATACCGTATTGCCACCCTCAAGTGCTTGACTGAAATTGGTGGTCTCTGCGTACAAGAGAACTACAATTACTGCCGCAAATTCGGTGCCATGTTCACCTGTGCCATGACCCATATTAACAAGATGGTTCCCTTGACCAAAGGTTGGTTTCCGACCTTAGCTTATAAATCACATAACGTTTTGCCTTCTCCTGACTTTGACTTCCATTTAGACTTCGAGTCATGCTATGCAACAGGCATCGATCATTGCGACGAGTTTTTATTACACCTTGCCTTGTTCTTGACGTCGTTCCTCGGCGCGCACGTCAAAGTCATTGAAGAGAAATACCCCAATCCAAAGTTACTCATCAATGCGCATATCTATCTTTTGAAAATCTCCCGAGTGCGCGACTGTGAAATTTTCAAAATTTGCTTGGAATACTGGCGAAGCCTCGTCCAATCACTGTACGAAGACTATCGCACGAAATTGATTGACGGTAACATGCAAGCTGAAGGCCAACATGACTCTCGCGCTCGCAAGTTCCTGTACAAGGACGTGTTGACTAATTTGCGCTTGTTGATGATTGAACGCATGGTCAAGCCTGAAGAAGTAAGTTGTTGAAACGGCTATGTACTTTATACTGCATCAAACTCATTTTTGTTTCAACTACTCACAGGTTCTTATCATGGAAAATGAAGAAGGCGTCATCGTACGCGAATTCATGAGAGAATGCGACACCATTGTACTCCACCGAAATATGAAGGAAGTACTCGTTTACTTGACCAATCTCGACGTCAAGGAAATGGAAAGAATTATGACTAGAAAGTTAGCCAAACAGGTATTTACTGATCGAAGATCAACCATGAAAAAAAGAAACAATGGTTGTCGAAAGCAAAAACTCATGTTTTTCTCAACTTTTCTCAGATGGACGGCTCGGAATTTTCATGGACAAATCTTAATCAATTGTGCTGGGCCATTGGCGCAATTTCTGGAGCCATGAGCGTGGAAAGCGAAAAGACGTTTCTTATCGAAGTCATCAAAAGTTTGCTGACGCTTTGCGAATTGAAGCCAGGAAAAGATAATAAGGCTGTGATTACTTCCAACATAATATACACTGTTGGTCAATACCCACGCTTCCTTGGAGCTCACTACAAGTTCCTCAAGACGGTCGTCGGAAAAGTTTTTGAGTTCATGCACGAAACCCACGAAGGCGTTCAGGATATGGCTTGCGATACGTTTCTCAAAATTGCCCAACACTGCAAGCGCTCATTCATTCTCCCACCCACTTCCGACCAACCTCCTATGATCAACGAAATCTTGGTCAATATGGAATCCATCACCTCGTCCCTATCTCCGTGCCAGGTAACTATTTGCCGAGCCCTCCCCCCCCATTCACCCACCGATTATTAATCCATCTTTCTTGCAGATGAATGTGTTTTACCAAGCCATTGGCCATCTGATCTCATCTGAGCAATCTTACACTATTCAAGTACGGCTGATGACAAAGCTTATGACGGCACCCAACACGGCAGTAAGTAATTGGACTTTCCGACGTCATCCCACCATGTTTTTGCATGCTAACATACCATTTACTTAGTGGATTGCCATTATGGACCAAATACGACAAGACCGAACGTCCTTGGAAGAACCCACTACTATAAAAATCTTACGAAATGTGCTCAGTACCAATACCGCGGTCTGTGCGTCCGCTGGACCCATCTATGGCATTCAGTTCGGGACAATACATGCTGACCTCATCAACCTTTACCAAGTATCCGATGAGATTATGGAAGCTCAAATAGCAGAAAAAGGTACAGTTTGCATTGCAAAGCCATGGCTGCTTGCTTGATTGTATGCTAAACAATTTCAATTTTAGGCGCATTGGCCGTCAAATTACCCAAAGTCCGCGCTGTTCGTAGCATCAAAAAGGATATCCTCAAATTGTTCGAACGCTACGTGCGTACTGCCGAAGACTTGGAATCATTGACCGAGGGTGTCATGCCTGGCATTATGAACGTTGCTCTTTGCCATTATCGCAGTACCATTGAGGAAGCCAGAGACGCTGAAGTCCTCAACATGACGGCTGCCTTGCTTGACCGAGTTGGGGTGAGTTTCATGCTTCACCTTAAAAGTGTTTAAATCGCAATATTAACGCCCTTTTTTTATTCCTGCAGCCACTTGCTTCGATGAAGGTGCCATGCATTCTCCAGTGTCTGTTTGAAAGCACGCTGACCATGATTAGCAATGATTTTTGCGAATACCCAGAGCACCGCCTAGGCTTTTACAGTCTACTCCGAGCCATCAATCGACGATGTTTCAAAGGTAAGGAGGAAGGCCAGATATATGCCTTACGTTCATGTTTGACTTATCCATTTTTTTTATTCTCTTTAGCATTGCTATCTCTAGAAACCAGCACTTTCAAGCTCGTCATTGACAGCATCATATGGGGTTTCAAGCACACCATGCGCGATATTTCGGAAATCAGTCTTGAACTCTGCTATGATCTTATCCAAAACGTGAGCCGATGCGACACAGCTACGAGTGATGCCTTCTATCAATCATACTATCTGTGCATTATGCAAGATGTATTCTTTGTCCTGACTGATACCGATCACAAGAGTGGTAAGCAAGCGATTCTGTTTTCAAACATTGAGCATCTGAGTTTCAAACTAACCTTGGTTGGGCAGGCTTCAAAGGTCAGACCGAAGTATTGGCCCGCCTATTCCAGCTGGTATCTGCCAATGCCATCAAAGCCCCACTCTATGACGTTGCGACTGTCAGCAAACCTGGCATGAGCAACAAAGAATTCCTTTACGACTATGTCTCTGAATTAATGCAGAATGCTTTCCCGCACTTGAAGAGGTAAACATTTGAATCTTGGTCACTTTTTCGTCTTGACAGTACTGACCCCCTCTCCCCCTCAGTGCCCAGATTAAAGTGTTTGTCACATCCTTGTTCGAGTACAATGTCAATTTGGTCAAGTTCAAGACTGAAGTTCGAGACTTTTTGATTCAATTGAACGAATTTGCTGGCGACACCGATGACCTGTATATAGAAGAGAAGGAAGCCGAATTGGAACAGCAACGAAAGGCCAAGCTAGCGAAAGCTTTGGCTATCCCCGGTATGGTCAAGCCTGCCGACCTACCTTCTGCTATGGACGAGGATGGTGGTTCATAGCTCAAAACTCTTCTCTTCTCTCCCCACTTCGATACCTTGTTATATATATACATATGTACTTTTTTCACCTTCCACTTGCTCCATCCCTCTTTTTGTAACGCATACTGCTTCGCTAACCAAGGACTTGTTCCTTTTATCCTATTTATGTTATAATGAAAAAAATCTACTGTATTGTGAATAAACAAAAAAAGTGAAAAGAAAAAAAAAGAGTTCAAGACCACGGTAAAAAAAAAAAAAAAAGACACGAGAAAAAGTGGCGAATTGGTATGTTTAGAAGGTCTCAATGCAGACTTGAGATGGAACGGTGGCGTCTGGCAATTCATAGGCGGTGAGAGTACGCCTTCGCAGCCGCTGGCTCTTGGCTATATTATGAGTGTGAACCATATGAAGCCGTGGATCGACCGTGACTGAGCCATGCTGGGCTTGATCGGGAGCAAACCAGGCTTTGAATTGACACCACAGGGCCATGAACGACGAGGCTTCGGGCAGTTGTTTGGGTGAAGCTGACATTGGCGTGAAGGTTAGATAGAGAGAAGAAAAAGGTACCATTCAAGGATTTTTTTATTTTTTGAGAAAAAGTGTGCAGTCAGTGGGGTCACGCAGACCTCTCATGGCCGATCATGCTTGGACGTTTTTCTTACATGAAAAAATTACACCGCTTTATGAACCTACTTATTTTTTTTACGTAAGTCCGAGTGAACAGCCGTTTTCATACTGTTTGACAACGTGGTTTCTGTATAGAAAGGTTGGTTTCCTCTACACAAAGGTGCTGCTTTCTACATTTACCGCCAAAAGTGGGTAAAACACGCTGCTCTGGCCAATTTCCTGGCTGCGAAAAAATAAACTCCTAAAATCATGAATTTTGTCAGCAATATTCGTGACGTACCGACAAAACAAGTGCTCAACATTGAGATATAGAACGACCGTCTCATAGACAGTTAGATCAGGCCTTACTGAACACCATGTTTTGTGCGAGTAAGTGTAGACTGCATTCATCCCACCGCCTGCCTGAACAATTCCCACTAACCTCTGCAATAGTATCTGGAGAAGTACCGGAAGAACCGGTCTTGTCGACCAAGTCTGGTCTCGTTTATGAAAAGAGACTCATTTTGAAGCAAATTGGCGATACCGGCAAAGATCCTAACACTGGTGAAGATTTGACGGCCGAAGATCTCATAGACATTCAATCCAGTACGTTGCTTAGATACCTGTTTTGAGGATTTTGTCCGCGCTTCCCTATTAATTCTTTATCCTTTTTGCGTATTCGCCTTCACAGATCCCAAGACAGTCAAACCACGTCCCCCAACTTTGACCTCCATTCCTTCACTACTCACTGTATTCCAAAATGAATGGGACAGCTTGATGCTCGAAACGTTCACGTTGAAGCAGCAGTATCAGCAAGTTAGACAAGAGCTTAGTCACGCGTTGTATCAAAACGACGCAGCATGCAGAGTCATCGCTCGATTGATCAAGGAGAGAGATGCTGCTCGAGAGTGAGTTGGCTACTTTCCGTCACGTCGTCAAATCAGATACAAAACTAACTGTTTCCCTTTAGAGCTTTGGCTAACGTTCAAGCTCACCTTGGTACTCAAACTACACAAGCTCCAGCTGCTGAGTCAATGGAGGTTGATTCACAAGAGTCAGGATTGCCTGCTGAAGCTGTTGAGAAGATAAATGCCACAAGTGAACGGTAAGCCATCTGAACCTTGATCCTATTTATGACCCACCCCCACTAACTCCTTCTTTAGCTTGTCGGCTACACGTAAGAAGAGAAAGCCACCGACGGAACACGCATCAGCTGAAGCCGTCGCTGCCTTCACTCAAGTGCAATCGGTGCCATCCATGCATAACGCTCGTCCCGCCGGTATTACAGCACTCGATATCGACGATAAGCGCGGTAATGTTTTGACTGGAGGAAACGACAAGCATGTCCAAGTATACAGCAGAGAGAAGGATAAGGTGTTGGCCAATCTGACTGGCCATACCAAGAAGGTCACGTCAGTTAAATTTAGAGGTGATACTGACAGCACAGACGAAATCGACATTGCCGTATCCGCCAGTGCTGACAAGTCTGTTCGTGTGTGGGGTACCGGAGAGAAAGGTAAGTCGTGGTTTGACTCCATTTGTTTAGAGCGTATGATATGTCCAACTCACTTCCCTCCCTCATAGGTTATGGGTTATTGCACAATATCCATTCTCACAAGAGTGATGTCAATGCTGTCACAGTCCATCCATCAAAATCCTATTTCGCAAGTGCTGCTTTGGATAGCACCTGGGCATTCCATGATTTCGAGACTGGTTCTACATTGATCAGTGTTTCTGATTCAGAGACTGACGCAGGATACACGGCGGCTAACTTCCATCCTGACGGTATGATTCTTGGATGCGGTACAGCTGATTCAACTGTTCGTATATGGGATATCAAGTCTCAACGCCCAGCTGCTTCCTTCGCGGGTCACACTGGCAAGATCACGGCTCTCAACTTTTCTGAAAATGGTTATATTCTTGCTGTTGCATCAGAGGACAACCTTGTCAAGCTTTGGGATCTTCGTAACTTGACCAACACCAAGACATTCACCTTAGAGGAAGGATACAAGATCCATGATCTCAAGTTCGACTACTATGCAAAGTATCTTGCCGTTGCTGGTACTGATTTGACCATCCTCAAGGCCAAAGACGGTGCTCCAATTGTATCTTTCAAAGAAAACACTTCCGATCTCACTTCTGTCCACTGGGATCCTCTTGCCACTTATGTTGCTGCTGCTGGTAACGACCGCACTCTTCGCATCTTCTCTACTGCTTCCGAATAGAGATTTGAATAGAAAAAAAAAATTAACAAATAGCAAAACCTCTTTCTTTTTTTTCTTCTCAAAATGTTTATTCAAATGTAATACTTTTCTGTTAAAAACCAACATGGCGAAAAGAAACCTCCCCTATCTGACGCCCTAAGTGTGAAATATTTCCTGGCGTGGTGAACATCGTCTCGCTAGATGTGGGCTGTTGACCATCCATTTGACCGGTAGGCCCATAGGGACCAGCTATATTGTATTAGATGCCAGCATGGCCATAATGGAGTCCACATTTTGTAGGTTGAAACAAGGTTTTGATCTATGTCCACCACTGGGTGTCAAAGCGGGATATTCATTTTACTGCGAACTACTACGCTGTCCTTGAAAGTCGCAGTAGCGGCCATCCATACTACGGCGGTCAAAAATGTCTTTGCCCTTTCCTAGCACTCCACTACCTCCATCATTACTGCGACAATATGCACTGGTGGATAACGCAGTAGCTTTGGCGTGCCATATGGACGGCAGGGTTATTACCATAATGGGATGGTATGGCTTGTCTTAGACACATCCTTTGCTACAGAAATCCCGAGGCATAGACTGCACCAGAAAACATTTATGATGCATCAGCGATACTTCATTTGAATGACGAAGTACGCTGTTCATGGGTTGGGTGTTATCAGCGCGCCATAAAGCTTGCGGGAAGTGAACGCTGTGGCTGCGATTGGCAGTTGATCATTAGCGCAGCACAAAATGATGTACTTCGCTTTTTAGGTTTTCTTTTCTCTGTTCTTTATAAACCCACACCCACTTTGCCATGTTCAAAAGCTGAACAACCATGTACGATAACACACAAAAATCACCCAGTCAGGTGGAGCTAGGCCACCGTGCTTCAGACGTGGAATCCTATATCACACCAGCGTCTGATCCAAATAATGTTCAGGACGCAGCGCCTTTTGAGCCATCCTCGATGGATCGTCCACTAACTGAAGCGGACAAAAAAGCAATGGTACGCGGGTTCTGCTTCTTCCTCCTGACCTTGGTGGTTGATATCGGGTTTCCACTAGCTATATACTATGGTATGAAGAACCACACTTCTTTGATTGTTGCGCTGATGGTCTCCAGTATTCCACCGCTGCTGCTGGTCATTGGCAAATTCATCTACAACCGCAAAGTCGATATCTTCGGATGCTTGTTCGTCCTCGGCTTTATCTTGTCTGGCATCTTTGCTCTCGTCAGCGGAGATCCTCGTCTCGTATTGCTCAGAGACTCGTCTGTCACTTGCGTGGTAGGAATCTGTTTCCTCCTCACGTTGATTCCGATCAAGACCAAGCGCTTCAACAACCGGCCGTTGCAATTTTTATTCTATGCACAAATCATCGAAAATCTCTCACCCGTCACATGGAAAGACGAACAGGGGAATGAATACACCTTGAGCCGCGCCGATTGGCTCTACACCTATGTACCGTATCTTCGTACCTATGCCATTGCCACCACTGTTTTGTGGGGAGTTATGTTAGAAGCCGAGTTTATTGCCAAAGTCATTTTGATTACAAGCAGTTTGACAACAGATCAAGTGGTGAGTTTCATCACGTTACCGAGATACGGTAAATGCCCTCCATACTGATCCATATTTGCAGGTCAACTATGGAAATATCATTATCGGTGTCATTACAGCAGTGGCCACAGTAGGCAGTGTCTTGATTAGTGCTCCCATACGTTCCAGGTCATTGAAATCATACAAGGAATGGGAGTCTCAGCGCTTTCATCCGGCGCCTCCCCCTTTTGCCAAGAGAGATTAAACGTACCGCCACGCCAAGACATGATGAACTCAAGAGATCCTGCTGTTCTGACAACATCCGACTACAATACCATTCCACAGCAAATTAATTGATGATGATAGTTCATCATCTGTATATATGTCATTGCTAGTGATTTAAGTTGCCTATGCCACAAAATACCATCCCATTTTTATATTACGATACTTGGCACAATATGCCAATAAAATATTTGCAACAAAAAATTTTGGGGAAAAAAACAACGGTACTACGAGCGCACTCAGTGCCTTTGTTCTTTTCATATGCTGGAACTGGAAACAAGTTTGATATCTTGCACTACTGCTGATTGTATTTGATTGTGCCTTAAAGAATGGCCCGTGAGTGGTGCAATCAGTGTCCATATTTGAGACTCAGCGCTCGGCGACAAAATCCGTGCCGCTCCTATTTAAAAGGACAGCTTCTGTTCCAGGCAACTCCCAGTGATTATCAGAATATCCGACTACAACAATCAATCTTTGACACACCATGTTCGGAGAAGGCAAGAGAGGTGCGATTGCTTTAGAGCCCTACTCAGATACTGAAGCTCTCCTTGGAGCATCAACCACACCTGATGACGATGCTATAGAGTCTCCAAGCAGCTCGACTTCTATCGACCTTGATCAATCCGAAGTAGAAGTCGACATGAGGAAGAAAATGATCAACAGCCTTCTTATGTTCTTGTTCAAGATGGTGATCGATATTGCCGCACCGTTAATTATCTATCACAATCTGAAGCACTATGTTCCTGTGCTTGTCGCTATCATGGTGTCCAGTACCCCGCCTCTGATCATGGTCATTGTCACCTTTTTGTACAAACGAAAGATCGATATTATGGGATGTTTGTGTATATTTGGCTTCGTTTTTTCCAGCATTGTTGCCATATCCACTGGAGACGTTCGCCTCGTCATGCTCAGAGATTCGACTATCGGCTGTATCATTGGCCTCTGCTTTCTTTTCTCTTTAATACCCATTAAAACCAAACGCTTTACCAATCTCCCACTGCAATTTTTATTCTATGCTCAATTCCTTGACGGTTTGCCTCCCGTCTCTTGGAAGGACGAACTCGGCCATCAATACACCCTCAGCCGCGCTGACTGGCAGTACACTTATGTGCCCTACGTTCGAGCATTCTGCTTTTACACCACTGTTTTATGGGGTATCGTTCTGGAGACCGAGTTTGTTATCAAGGTCACTATGATTCAAAGCAGTCTGACTATAGATCAAGTGGTAAGCTGTGGTTCTGCGAAAGGTACAAGTAAATAGGTCAAAAGCTAATGAATGGTGTTCTGTATGCAGGTCAACTATGGAAGTATCGTGTTTACTTCCATGACTATAGTGGTTATGATTGTGACTGTACTGGTATCCCTCCCCATACGCCGCAAGACTAAAGAAGCATATAGGATCTGGCAAAAACAACCCTACCATCCTGCCCACCCGCTTACGCTCAGAGCAATTGAAACGGGACCGGAAGTTCAAGAGGACGGACGGTCTATGACAACAATGTAATTTGGCTATACCCTGGTTTTTCTGTCGCATATGACAGAACTTGTTTATTTAGATCCTTTGCCTTGGATCATTGTACAGTTAATTTTTTCATTATTTTTTGTGCTAACTGGCTACCCGCTTTTTCCCTGTCCTCCATACAGTTTTCACCATTGTAACACAATAACAGTAAACTAGCCATTTCGTTGAAATTGAGATCGTTTTAGATATGAGTAGACATTATCGTAAAGAGGTTCTATACGATCGCGTTAAATTTTGCTTCCAGCCTGTGGCTTGGTCATAAGCAGCAGAGTGAAGGAAAAAAAAAAAGGTAGTCGAAACCCAGCTCTCAAAAAAAAAAAAAGTTGCAAAGTCGAACCGTCGTTGCAAACCACGACTTCCTTCGAAATCAGTGCACATGGTTTCAGCCACAAAGGATCTCAAGCAGGGCGACCATCCTGCAAAGGACGGATTCGAGCCTCTGTTGAACGAAACCTTTGCCGGAAAGCATCTCACTGACCCTATTCCTGAAATCAAGGTAACCAGGCAATGAGCTGGCTGGCTGACTAATTATACGGCATGCATGCTAACGGTGTGGTGGTGAATATAGGATAAATGGAAGCTTTTGCCTGCGTTTCTCAAAGTCAAAGGTCTCGTTAAGCAGCATATTGATTCCTTCAACTACTTTGTCAATATTGATTTGAAGAAGATTGTCAAGGCCAACCAACGTGTCACCTCCGACGTTGATCCTCATTTCTTCCTCAAGTAAGTTGTGCAATAATCTTCCTTCACGTCCGTCTTCTCAGCTCATGCCAACTCGCGTGTTAGGTATTGCGACATCTACGTCGGTATTCCCGAACGAACAGACGCAGACGCCGCCAATCAGCCCTATACACCTCACGAATGCCGACTTCGAGACTTGACCTACTCTGCCAATATATATGTTGATATTGAATACGTGCGTGGCCGTACCATTGTGCGACGAAAGAAGGTCGCCATTGGTCGCTTGCCTATCATGCTTCGAAGTCAACAGTGCATCTTGACTGGCAAGTCGGAAGCTGAGCTCGCCAAATTGACCGAGTGTCCTTTGGATCCTGGTGGCTACTTTGTCGTCAAGGGTGTTGAGAAGGTTATTTTGGTGCAAGAACAGTTGTCAAAGAATCGTATCATTGTCGAAATGGATAAGAAAAATAATGTTATGGCTAGTGTACAGAGGTAAGGCATCGTACATGGGTTATTGGCTAAAATTATGCTGCTTTCTAACCCTGTTCGTCGTACTTTTCAGTTCTACTCACGAACGCAAGTCAAAAACCGCCATCATTGTCAAGCATGACAGGATTTACTTAAAGCATAATTCCATATCTGAAGATGTCCCGATCGTCGTTGCCATGAAGGTAAGTACCCAGCCGCTACACCAACCAATACCACGGTAAATGACTATGGTGTGTTGACCTTCTCTTCTTTGCTTTAGGCTATGGGTGTGCAATCGGATAAAGAAATCGCTCAATTGATTTGTGGTAATGACCACGATCTTTTGGACTTGTTCTCCATCAACATTGAAGAGGCATCCAAGTTGAAAATATACACTCAAAAGCAAGCTTTGGACTTTATTGGAAGCAAGGTCAAGGTGAATAGAAAGATATCCGGACCACGTAGACCTTGGGTAAGTTACCATCGAGCCACGTCTACCTGTGTAACAGAAACTGACAATAGACATTTAGGCGGACGAAGCATTGGAAGTGTTGGCAACAGTCGTACTGGCACATATACCCGTAGAGAATCTCAATTTTAGAGAAAAGAGCATTTATGCTGCTATGATGGTCCGTAGAGTGCTACAAGCTGTCAATCATCAAGTTGAAGTGGATGATCGTGATTATGTCGGAAACAAGAGATTGGAATTGTAAGTGGTTTGTGAGTGCCCGGTGAAACACATTACCATCCATATTGACCCTCTATCTTCCTTCAGGGCTGGTCAATTGCTTTCGTTGCTATTCGAAGATCTATTCAAAAAGTTCAACTCTGATCTAAAATTGAATATCGACAAGGTGCTCAAAAAGGTCAATCGTACGCAAGAGTTTGATGTGCATAATCAAATCATCCTGCACGGCGATCACATCACATCTGGGTTCATTCGAGCTATTTCCACTGGTAACTGGGTGTTGAAGCGTTTCAAGATGGACCGCGCTGGTATCACGCATGTGCTTTCTCGTTTGAGTTATATCTCAGCTCTGGGTATGATGACACGTATTGCCTCTCAGTTCGAGAAAACTAGAAAGGTGTCTGGTCCTAGAGCTCTGCAGCCTTCGCAGTGGGGTATGTTGTGTACATCCGATACACCAGAAGGAGAAGCGTGCGGTCTTGTCAAGAACTTGGCGCTCATGACCCATATCACTACGGATAACGAAGAAAGCCCCATTCGCAATTTGGTATTTGTGCTTGGTGTTGAAGGTATGTTTCCCAACGCCTTTTTCATCGCTGAAAGCATTTCATTGACTCATGCCTTTGCAATTTAGATGTCAATATGTTGACTGGTGCCGAACTTTACCAGCCCAATGTCTTTGTCGTGTTCTTGAACGGTAGTATTTTGGGTATTACTCGAAGAGCTGAAAAGTTCGTTCACGATTTCCGTCGCATGCGTCGAGCTGGCCGTGTGTCTGAGTTCGTCTCCATCTTCATCAACGATCATCAAAGGACCATCAACTTGTCATCGGATGGTGGTCGTATTTGTCGACCTCTGATTATTGTTGAAAACCGGAAACCGCGCGTGACCCAACAGCACATCAACGTAAGTGATATGGCATAAATGGCAAAAATGCTCAATGTACTCACCGCTGCATACACTATAGGACCTCATCGCTGAGAAGTTGACATTCGAAGATTTCTTGAAGAAGGGTCTGGTGGAATACTTGGACGTCAATGAGGAAAGTGATTCCAACATCGCTACCTACGAACCCGATATCATTCCGGAAAGCACCCATCTTGAAATTGAACCTTTCACTATCCTTGGAGCTGTCGCTGGTCTTATTCCATACCCACATCATAATCAATCTCCACGTAACACGTAAGTAGATTGGCAGCGCTGTTGGTACTATGTCTCCAGACGACTGATGTTTTATGATGATTAGGTACCAATGTGCTATGGGTAAACAGGCTATTGGCGCAATTGCATACAACCAGTTGAATCGCATAGATACACTTTTGTATCTGATGGTCTACCCACAACAACCCATGGTCAAGACCAAGACCATTGAACTCATCGGTTATGACAAGGTAAAATATCCACCGTGGCAGCCAATCCACATGTGCATTTTATTGACATTTCTGCGTGACTTTTAGCTTCCTGCTGGACAAAACGCTACTGTTGCTGTCATGAGTTACTCTGGCTATGATATTGAAGATGCTTTGGTTTTGAACAAGTCAGGTCTTGATCGTGGTTTTGGTAGATGCCAGGTCATGCGCAAGTATGCTACCATGGTCAAACAGTACCCCAACGGCACGTAAGTACACCGTTGGCTGGAAAACAACTAAAATATGAACCTCTTTGACCAACACTCGCCCTTTTTTTTTTTTCACAGTCATGATCGCTTGGTGGATCCTCCTCAACCTGACTCGGAGCTTTGGAACAGTACCTATGCTGCATTGGATGCCGATGGTATTGCTTCCCCTGCCGAGCCTCTGGAAAGTGGTTCCATTTACATCAACAAGCAAGTACCCTCCAACACCAATGCAGAATTGGGTGTTGGATCAGGGGTGCAGAACATCACATACAAGGGTGCGCCCATGCGGTACAAGTCACCTCAAACAGGCTATGTTGATAAGGTGCTTTTGACCACCACGGAGAGTGACCAGACCCTCATCAAGGTTCTTGTCCGCCAAACTCGACGTCCTGAATTGGGTGACAAGTTCTCTTCTAGACACGGACAGAAGGGTGTCTGCGGTATCATTGTGCAACAGGAGGATATGCCGTTTACAGATCTCGGTGTTACTCCCGATATCATCATGAACCCACATGGTTTCCCCTCTCGTATGACAGTGGGTAAAATGATTGAGTTGCTAGCTGGTAAAGCCGGTGTTTTGGCTGGTAAACTCCAATATGGTACTGCGTTTGGAGGTTCCAAGGTAGCGGACATGAGTCAGATTTTGATCGAAAACGGCTTCAGTTATTCTGGCAAGGACTATGTGACATCTGGTATCACTGGCGAACCGTTGTCTGCGTATATTTTCTTCGGCCCCATCTACTACCAAAAGCTAAAGCATATGGTCATGGACAAGATGCACGCACGTGCCCGGTAAGTTTAAACTATTTTTCCAGCCCACAATCTTTTAAATCCCATCCCAGTTATTCATCCCTGCTTGCTTACAGCGGTCCACGAGCTACCCTCACACGTCAACCTACCGAAGGTCGTTCAAGAGATGGTGGTCTTCGTCTGGGAGAAATGGAACGTGATTGCTTGATCGGTTACGGAGCTAGTATGCTGCTCCTTGAACGTCTTATGATTTCATCGGATGCTTTTGAAATCCATGTGTGCGAGGAGTGTGGTCTCATCGGTTATGCAGGATGGTGTCAGTTCTGTAAGAGCAGCAAGAAGATGAAGAGTATGCAAATCCCCTATGCAGCCAAGTTGCTGTTCCAAGAACTCATGTCCATGAACATTTGTACTCGACTTATGCTTGACGACGCTCTCTAAGGCAACACATCCTCGGCCAAATGTATAAATTTTTTTCTAATTAAATCCCTTGCATCTCTCCAATGTACTATATGTTTTTGCCATGACAGACAGAAATAAACGTTATCGTTCCCACTCACATGCAAAGCTCACATGTCCGGAAAGTTCTAGGGTGTGCCCCGTCCGGCCACGAGGTCCACCTCATTCGGCCCTCCGCGAAGCTTTCAATGTGTCTGGCACGAACAGCCAGACACCTTTCTAAACTATTCCCATCGATTGCAGCCAAGTTCACACGGTCCGGGGTTTACAACAGGTTAAGCCACGCGCAGGCAGGCAGGTCCAATCAATGATATCGATGTTTGTTTGTGCCTTTTGTCAAGGCCATTATTATGAGGGGGAAAAGAAGACAAGAAAGAAAGCTATTACATTGTGGGTGGGACTATAAATATGAAAAGAAAAAAAAAATTTCCAACATGGTATGAATGAATTCGGTTGTTACTATGAAAAAAAAACATCAAAAAAAGGTATTAGGAGACTCAGTTGTTTCCATAACGTAGAGAGCCAATTTCTCGTCTCAGGGCATCGATTTCTTGGGCATTGGCATGTTCTTTGTTTTTGAGCATATCAATGTACTCTACAGCTGTTAAGGAGATTAGGATAGGACCATACACCAGGGCGCAAGTCCAACGGCACTTACCCCGACTTAAAATTTCCCATTTGCTTGTCTTCAGACTTTTGTCCACAGGCAGCACATCCCGAAGTTCATCAAATAAATCTCTCATTTCCCTACGTCGTTTCCGTTCCGCTAGCCTGTGAGTCACTCTCAATTCGGGACTTCGAGAGAATGGCGCACTTCCTCGTCTTTGTGAAGCCATTTCGTCTTGATGATGGAGATGGTAGCCTGGGCCAGCCAGGGTACCAGATGGCGATGAAACCATCGATAAAGAACTTTTGATGAGGGGCAAAGAGTCTCTCCTTGCATAGGCATTTGTTTCATACCGTGACGGCATATGCGTTGGGGAAGGGGATCGAGACGACGCATAGTAGTCGGTGGTGGTGGCCAGCGAGCTTCGTCGGCTGGAGTATGGGCTGGCCGGCGTGGATGATGGGTATTCTCCAGATATGCTCCTGTGTCGATTATTATTGATTCTTGGAAAGGCGTTTTGTTGACGTAGATCGTCTAATCCTTTTGGTCTGTCGACGAATTCAATAGGTGGTAAAACGAGGGGATGGCGAGGCTCCATGGCTTTAGGCGGAGATGGCGGATGAACACTCAGTGGATGCTGAGAACGAGAAGACATCCATGAGGGTTCGTCGGCATGCATTTGGAAATGGGGAAAGGAGAAGGTCGGTCGGGTAAAAAAGAGAGAAGGATGGACACACGCGCTGATTCCCCAAACTCAAAAGTCCCGACTATCACCCAGTTTCCCCATTTTTAGTTTTTCTCCCTCCTCGTGGCTAATTTATTTTCGAAACGCTTCAGTAACAGCCACGTAGAACAACATGCTGGGGAAGAACTTCATTCGTTCGCACAAGAGGGTCCTATCGTTCAAACCACGCCATGCCATACCCTTTCAGCGTGCGTGGATGGAATGAATTTGTACAACCCCCTTGGTTTGCCCATCATTATAAAAGTATACACATCAGTGAATAGGTTCTAAACTGCCTCTGCTATCAATGACATGTGGCCATATCATATCACATCACCCGGTGTAGCTTATTGGCTAACCACATCGAATAGGATACAACCCATTTCAATCCGTTCTGCTTCTGTTTCGTACAAATTTACTGCGGGGTATGTGGGTGTAACCCAGTCAGCATCATGACACGATGTGTGGAAATTTCCGGGCAGACAGGACAGCCGGGGGTATGCATTGATAGTGGTAGTAGCCATCGATCGTACTTACAGCTGATATGACCATCTGGCTACACAGATAGCGATCTTGGTTGAAATCATAATCATCCTGTTGGTTTATTCTTAGTCACCGGTCAGTCACCGATGGCTCATGACGGCCTAATCTATCCATTGGCAAGGCCTGCTTCGGCACGAATATGCCTTTCAGAGTCCATCATTTTGCTATGTACGCCATTGCGTCGATCCTTAGTAAAGGGGGAAAGGCATGACATTGAGCCATATAATAAACCTGCTGGTTATTATCAGCATGGTACTCCTTGCAGCTTTTTGGATTTTCACACCTTGTAGCTCAGAATGGAAATAAAGACGAAGGAAGAACGTGCGCTTTACTGAAGCAATTCCTGATAGGGCTGGGATGAACCAAAAAATGGTCCTTAACCTAACGCCATTGTTTTGTCCTTCTGATGACATTGAGTCAGTCTAACTTTGGAACCATGCTACATTCAAACATATCTTTCAAACAGTCTCAAGTTGTTCATAAAGCTTCCATGCACACATGATGAGATCTGCAGGAGAGTATCGAGATTGTTCTTCTTGGAAGGTGACCAAATTGACGTCAAGCAGGTTTAAGGTATTTACGGTCCAATCAATAACTAAGGCTTAGTGCCTACTTTACTTTGACTCTGCCCAGTGTTACCAAGCTTAATCACAGCGATGGGCTTCCAATGAGCTCATAAGTTGACTTTTTTGCGTGCATGGAATCCCATAAATATTTCTACAGAAAGATCTTTTTCTTTATCACAACATTCACAGCAGATCTATATCAAACCACCCTCCATACCATCGAAGCTGTTGATGATGACTTCACATGGCTATACTATGCTAGCGCGAAATATTTTTTCATTGTAACCTGATTGGTCAATAAGTTTATATAATATCTGCTGTTGTGATTCCACTCTTTTCTTCAAAAGGATAGTGTGTATGTATAAAGTAAGAAGAAGTCGGCCTTACAGATTGGCTGCTAGAGCCAATAGACCAGCCATGAGCAATCCAGCGGTGGGAAGGATACTGTTGGCTGAAGAAGCCGCCGTCGCAGCAGGTGGAGGAATAGTACTAGTCAAAATCACCACAGGAGTGCTCTGAGGAGGGGGAGGAGGAGCGAGAGATGTACTAGCGATGGAAGAAGTGGGTAGAGCAACCGATGAAGATGAAGGCATGGCGAAAGAAGAAGAAGCCGAGATACTGCTGGATGATAGGCCTGATGAAACGCCGGATGGAACAGCTGTGTTTAAGCTGGAAGAAGCGGTGGGTAACAAGGCGGATAGTAAGTTAGAGGCGGAAGAGGCTCCTCCAAGAGGGATGGATAATCCCAAGATGCCTGAGTCAGCTTTCGAGCTATGAGCTTCCTTTGCGTGATGTGTTGCTGTAGCTTCTGCGGCCTTGGTGGTAGGATGATGGGTGGAAGTGGAGGAATCTCCGCCCAGACCCAACAAAGGAAGTAGATCAGCATGACACGACTGGAAAGCCATGAAAGCCATTAACACAAATAAAAGCTGTGGTTTGAACATGATGAAGGAATGGAAAGGGGAGAAAAAGAAAGACGTTGAGATTAGCGCAAGAGGTTCAATGTAATAAAGCAGCGAAATTAACCCATTGAAGCTAAGCGGAAATCGCGTCTGTAGTCTATTCCAATTGAACAACCAACCTACCTCGCAAAACCTTTGTCGTCAACCTCCTCCTTTACCCCTGATGTTTACCTTTGGTATATCAAAGGAAACTCCCTCCTTTTGCAACAAGCACACTTCTTGTTCTTGTCCATGTTCTCTCCTCCATTGCCTCCCAATGACCATCCGCGAATGAAGCGGCGGACTTCCACACCTCATGTAACTCAGGTCAAAGAATGTGATATACTACTGTCGAAGCCCCGACCAAGAAGCGGTTCCTGGGCAGGTTCAACCTCAGAGTCTCATCAAATTACTGTCGAGTATCCTCCGCCTCGATCCCCCAAGAATCATTTTTTATCGCATTTTACAAAACAGCCTTTACCGCATTACTTTCCATCGCCCAGTCGAGATGATGTTGGGTTTGTCTACAATCCTTCAGAGCGTTCAGCTGATACCATGAAACGAAAAAAAGGCCCACTAAGCGGAATAGGTAATTTTTTTCGTCGATTGCGCCAAAACACCACCGATCCTGTCCATGCAAAGGAAGTGCTTGCTTCCAAGCCGCTGTCATCACATCCTACCCCAAAGCAGATTCTGCCGGAAACCGAGGAAAAGCGAGTTCCTGGGATACGCAGAACCACTCAGCATTCCGATCCTCTCGACCCCCTGGAACCGCGTGAAAGATCGAAACGAGAGTCACTACAAGCGCATTTGCGGTATTTTGGATTGGAATTGAACTCGTTACTTCCACCTTCGGAGGCCCCCACCCTGCCGTTACGATCGTCTTTGTCAAGTAATGATTTGAAGGAGTATCGGCAAAAGCACCCCGATGGAGCTAGGCTGAGTATGTTATGTTCGTCCCCGTCCAAGACGTGTAGCTGCATTCGAGAGGAACCAGAGATGGAGGCGGCCGGCCATAGCTCGGTCTCGTTGTCGCGCGGTAGTTGCTATACATGTGAGTCCATGTACAATACCTACACTACGTACCGCCAAAGCGAAAACAGCGTCACCGAATTACCAACACAAGATTGTGAGCAGGGCCGCCAGCATGGCGCAGCACAGCCAACGTCGCACTTTGACAAGCACCATAGCGATGAGGACGAAGACGAAGTGTTTTTGGATGCTCAAACCACCAACGAGCCTCCTGCTGAACGGCGAGCCGATCAGCTCACAAAGCGTCTTAGTGGTGGGCATTTTGGGTCCGCTGGTGGACTGATACTAAGCGTATCCGATTTTCTAGCTCGTCCCTTGGATCCTACCGCCAAGCGACATAGTACGTGCACTCTGAGCACGACCAAAAAGGACGAAACGGTCACTAGTTATGGCGGAGAGCGTCGATGTAGCCAGGCGAGTGCTCATACGGTGGTGGGAGTTCTCCTCCCTCCTTCAAGCGAGCCTGAATTAGAGCACGGTACCATTGATACAGCGCCTTCGACTGAAGTGAATACGCCTCGTCAGGACCAGGAGTATACGTCAGTGCAGAGCATGAGCATAGAAATGGAAAATTCCATCGGGATGCTGAACGAGACAAGTGACAAGCAGTTTGTCAGTACGGAGGAGAGCGAAGAAGACATAAAGGTGGCGGCTCGTCGGATATGGATTGAAGACACTTCATTCCATGAAGATATGGAGAGGGTAGCGGAGTGGTTGGGCACGAGGTGAGATAGCACGTTTCTGCTTGAAATGTTGTTGCTTTGCAACCATCATTATGTGAAACTGGTGTTTTAACGAATACTTCCCATTAGCAAACCGTTCAATCAAAGGACACTGAAACTGTACATGGAGTATTTTGATTTTCGAGATCTACGACTTGATGTTGCCTTTCGGTAAGTCAGTGCAGTCGGTGTGCCCGTGCTTGGCCTCTCTACTAACTTGATTCCTATACAAGAAAACTATGCCGAAAACTACCTTTAAATGCGGAAAGTCAGCAAATTGATCGTATCTTGGAAAATTTTGCAATTCGCTATTGGGAATGTAACCCCAAAAGCTCATTTGGCAATGCCGGTAAGACGAGTGCTTTTATATCAATCTCGATAAATTGAACCTCTTTGTTTTTCATCATTCCCGTTTTTACATCTTTGCCAGACGTCGTATATGCTATTGTTTATTCCCTGCTCCTCTTGAACACGGACCTTCACATTGCTCAAGGCGATCACAAAAAGATGTCACGAAGCGCATTTATACGGAATACGATGTGTGCCATTCGAGCTCAGGTCGATATGTTTGTTGACCTGACGTTGATCAGCGCATCATCCATCAAACGATCACCAAGCGCTCGCAGTTTCCGCAGCTCAAAAAGCGGCCGCAGCGAATATAGCAACACCAGTAACCCAACAACTTCATCGCAGACAATAGGTAGTAAACAATGGTATTCTGAAATAGAGTCCATGTTAAAGGTAAGAGGGAATTCAAGTTGCAGCATCATAGAAGACCTTTGAGGCTGAATATATGGGACACCACAGGATATGTATGTGGCAGTCAAGAACACTCAGATTTCACAGCCTTCAACATCAACCAGTGCGGAAACATCGCCCAACGGATCCACATTGGATGGTACCAGTACACTTGGAAGATTATCTCTCAACCCTGTCAACGTCAATCCACTAAGGCGCGGATTGACAAGGAACAGTATTCGCGAACGGTCCGGTACCCCTGATGTACACCAGGTGAACTTACCTACTGATAAAGTGTTGACTTGCTGAATGACAAAAACTCAACTAGCCCTACTTTCCCACCACAGAATGGAAGACAGTCCTTACACCATCAGCTGAGTGTTCGTTCATCCTCCAATCGATCAAGGTGTACATCGATTGTTTCTGTACAGTCCGGCACCTCCCATGGCTCAGGTAGCGCCAAGGAGTCAATATCAGCCACCGCTTATCAATCGATTGCCAACCTCATCACCAACACCCAACTCTCTGCGTCGTACACATGTGATGCCCCATTCTACAAAGAAGGGGTTATAGTAGGCAAGCACTTGCTGGAACGAGCAGACCAAAAAGCCAAGCACCGAGAATGGAAAGAATATTTTTGTGTGATTTTCCGTGCGGAACTCCTCATCCATCGCTTGGAGCATCGCAGTGGTGATCGCAAATCCATCCATAAAACAGCTCATAGTAACAGCAGTTTTTTGACCGACTACGACGACAGCCAACCATCGCCCTTTGCTGTAGGTGGAGGGGATCTCATGGTAAGATCGACCGCGTCAGCGTGCTTTCCTCCTATTCATAGTCTGTCCGTTTCTAAAATTAAAAATTCTCCATATTCCTCTCGTTTAATTTTGCCTGCCCGCTCAATAGTCTCAGGCGCAGCAAGTGGCCTGCCTTGATCTCAAGCACTCGTTGTCCACAGCCCTGCCTTCTGGTTACAGTCGACAGCGACCTCATGCTTTTGCATTGCAGCAAGCCCACGGCGGGGTGTATGTCTTCCAGGTTGGTTCGGATGAGCAGCTTGTTGCTTGGATCTCAACTCTCAATTACTGGGCTGCCCGAGAGAGCAAAGAACCATTGACTGGAGGGGTCAGTAACATGGAGTTTGGCTGGGGTGACTGCCTTCAGGACGTGGTAGGTCACCCAGACCACTACAAATTGACTCTCGGAGCCATGTCGGTCACCGTGCACGAATGGAAGCCACCCGTACCACCAGAGATAAACAGCACAGTGAGCGAGATGGATCAGTTCAAGGCACTTCAAAAACATGTACAACAGCTCAATGCTGAATTGGACTTCCATCGTGAAGTCAAGCCAAAGATATCTGTACGAGTAAGTAGCTGAGTTTGGCGTCATGTTATTTAAAGGAATAGCGCGCGCGAATCAATTAGCTTCGTCGGCCGAACCTTTCATCCATCCATACGATTTTTCCCTCTTCTAATTCTCTAAAACTCTAGTTCCCTCCAAGAACGACCAACAACATTCGAGCGCTGACCAACTGGGAATCGAAAGCTCAGTACTTACTACATGAAATCATCAAGTATCAAAACTACTGTGATGCCATTGAAAAGAGTCTAACGCTTCAGGTTCAAGTCAATGCATGAAAAAAATAGCCCCAATTTCTTTTGTATGCTCCGCTTTCAAGGTTTCGAGATCATTGTTGTTGACCCCCTTAGCCTGCTGCTATTTTTGTGTTGAAATTGAATAATATTACTGTAAACTTTCTTCTTTCCTTTACCTTGTAACCTATGCAGAGCCTCCTCCTGCTCTTACATCTCTCATATGTCCTGGCTACCGTCCAGCCTTTAGCTTATATTCTGGAGCTTACAAATATACAATCTTTCTTACTGGAATACCCAGAACTCCATTTGCGTCATACCTTCAACTCCTCCATCCTCACCGGTGTGTCCGTCAACTTTCACTCATTAGACGATGCACACAGAGTCTTGCAGGATCCCAATATCCTGCAAACATGGCCCGTTACGCTTCACGCTCGACCTATGTCAAACTATAGCATAAACGAGATACCCGTATGTTTGCTAATTGATTTTTCTAAGGACCAAGAATTTTTTTCTGGGTCCACCGTCGCTGATCATTGCCTTATGTTTTCATCATAGGGTGCTGCCCAAAAATTGACAAGTCAGAATTTAGCGTACCAGCAACTTGATACGGATGGATCAGGCATTCGCATCGGTGTCATTGACTCTGGCGTCGACTATCGGCACCCTGCGTTGGGCGGATGCTTTGGCGTCAACTGCAAAGTGCGCTATGGCTATGATTTGGTAGGCGACGAATATAACGGAGACATCGCAACCCTCAAGCCCGACCCTGACCCCATGGATAGTTGTGGCACCGGATCAGGTACTACTCTATTGATTGTTGTTTTATACACTCCTCCTGATGACTAACACTCCATGGCATGACAGGTGCTACAGGGCATGGAACTCATATCTCTGGCATCCTTGCCGCTGATGACAAAGAGTTGGTGAGTATCTCCTTCACACGCAAATCCTGTCTGCTGAGAAAAAGGCTCTTCCTGACCGTCTTTTGCATAGAATTGGACTGGTGTGGCTCCAGGTGCTACCCTTGGCATGTGGCGGTAGGGCATAGGAGAGTCAGCATTATCTGCCTAAGGAATTCACCCTCTAATGCACTTCAATTTTCTAGTGTCTTCAGCTGCCAAAATGTCCTCACGCCCAACGACATCCTCATCAAGGCAATGGAAATGGCATATAAAGCAGATATGGATATCGTCAATCTGTCATTTGGCGAAAATGGTGGATGGGCGGAAGATCCACTTGCCGTTGTTGCTGATCGAATGGTCGAAGCTGGTGTGCATGGTGAGTCTAAAAGGAAAAATGCATTCTGGCACGGTGAATACTGCCATGACAATCATTAAACTGACTTGTTTATGAAAACGTTAGTGGTGGTGGCTAGTGGAGACTCTGGAGGGAATGGCGTTTTTCTGACAGCTGCTCCCGCCACTGGACGAAAAGTCATATCGACAGGTTCAATAGATAATCGCTTGGTGGCCGCCCATGTTCTGGACATCAAAGGGCATGGATCAATAGGTAAACGTAGTCAATGTCGCTCTCTGAAAAGTGATTGATACTCATCTGAGATAAATCATTCAGTGTACAGAACCGCAGATAACTTTCCTATATACAACCAAACACATCACAGTCTAGTGTCTGTCTCAAAATCTCTCAATCTGTCCGTAAATGCTTGTACGTCGCTTTCTTACAACCTCACAAACGCTTATGTTGTGACAAAAAGAGGCGACTGTGCAGACTACACCCAAGCTGCCAATCTACAGCAAGCTGGAGCTGCGGCTGTGATTCTTGTCTCATTGCAAGGCCAAGACACAAACATTGGGCTGATCTCTGTTGGTATTCCTGTGGTTTCAGTCCCATTTGACAACGGCGAACAAATTCAGCATTTGCTACGCAAAGAGAGCCGTTTATCTGCTCGGCTGACAACTATACTTTCAACCTTGCCTGTATTGTCAGGAGGACAAGTATCATCTCTCTCGACGCTCGGACCGACCAACGAACTAGAGTTGAAACCTGAAATATCTGCTGTTGGAGGATACGTGTTTTCAACCCTGCCTCGCTATTTGGGTAGTTATGGTACTATGTCTGGGACAAGTATGTCCAGTCCGTGGGTAGCTGGATCCATTGCCCTTCTGCTTGGCTATAACAAGGAACTGACCCCTCAGCAAGTGAGAACGGCTTTGATGAATTATGCACAGCCAGGTAAAGTACTTTTCAGCAGTCGAAAAAAAGAAAATTGGGAATACGTATTGATATGCTGAGCTAACCTCCGCTCTCAGTGAATACCACCATTACAAACAAACCTATGATAGATTCTCCAATTCGACAGGGAGCCGGTGTAGCGGACATTATATCCACCATCGCCTGCGTAAAAAAACTCTCTGTGAACCCCCCGAAACTCAACCTAAACGATACCCAGCATTTCACCAACACACATTCGTTGACTATCACCAATCACCAGGACTCAGAACTCACAGTGTATATAAGCTACCAAAATTCGGCGACAGTGGCTGGATACAATATTTCGAATCCAATGGATTTTGAACCTTTAGAGCCAGTCAGCTTTTTGGCCATGAGTCGTTTGTCCGACTACGCACACATTGATATTGCATCCAGTAAAATAGTATTACCGCCTGGTCACAACGCCACCCTCTCATTAGATATAACACCCCCGACCACGAACAATCGTTTTCACTCTTTCTATGGTGGCTATATTGTCGTTCGTACGAGTGGCTGTACGGCGAGCGTACCGTTTATAGGCATGTCCGGCAACATGAGTGCGCTTCCCATTCTCGATCGTTCACCATCCACTTCTTTTCCGTTCCCCAGTATTGGAAATCCAAACAACACTATTCTAGCAAGCAACGAAACCGGCCAGTATGTTCTAAACCAAACATTCCCGAGTGTTCTGGCCAGGCTGCTCACCGGCACGGCGATAGCTCAGATCCAAGTCCTGGACCAACACCACACTACCCTTGGCGATGTGCCGCTGCAAATAACGACGAACCAAACGTCACCCAATCCAAGAGCATGGGTGGTTCGTAACCTTCAGCGGACACTCAACGGAGCGACCGACTTCAAGGTCTGGAAGTGGGACTTTACCTATCTTCCTGTGAACGCTACCGTGTACGGACAGAATCGGCAATTGGACAAGGTGCAAACTGTTACTCCAGGGACGTACCACCTGAAATTGAGGACTCTCCGAGTGTTTGGGAACCGGAACAACATCCATGATTGGGACCAATGGACATCACCTCCTCTTCAAGTCAAGAGTATACCCTCCAAGCACCACAACCATCCATCCAAAGAATAAAGTATGGACGCCACCATGATGCGTTTATTTTTGCATTGTTACTAGGATGAATAAAAGTGCATGGTTATAGCAGCTTGTTTTTCATGTTATGTCACTTTATTTCATGTCAGGTCATGCCATGTCATATCATGCCATGTTTTAGCTCGGTTATTCTATGCCGTGTTGGTTTTATGGTATGTTGCAATTTCTCCAGCCGTGGGTATCTCCGAGCAGGGCGATTAGACAATAAATGCCATGTCGCTTCCTAGCATACACTGTCGGGTCTGGCACCGGCTTGGTTCCATGCGTCAAGCATCTGGAAGTTACACTGGTGGCTCGAGCTTCGTCGGTGGAACCCGCCAATGACAGCGTGGTATTTGACGAGCTTTTGCCGAGCGCAAGAATACTGAGCTATGGCGATGGTTTCCTGATGGTTCAAAAAGTAGGCTGAGCATTGCTGCTTGTACTGACTGTACATGTTCCAATACGCCAAAGAATCAAGCACGGCGCTCAGCTTGTCGGACACAGGATACAGTTGCTCTTCCAACTGCCAACTGGAAAACCGAATTAAACCTCAGCTTAATTTTAATTTATGTTTCTTATCTACCCGTACCTGAATGCACTTCCATTGCAGTCCTTCACGTAGCCATACTGGATAGCCCACGACACATAGGCCAGCCCATGTGTGCTGATATCGTCCTCTAGGTTTTCTATGGAACATCGTCAGCGTTAGAACTCCATAGCTCAAAATTCACCAAACGTACCACACAGCACATCAAATACAGCCTGGTACGCTGGATTCAAATATATGAATCCCTTCCTCTGAAAGAATAGCGCATTGTGAAAATGGTCGGGCTGAACGCAAACGGCGTCTCGCGCTAATGAGATTGAAAACAAAAAAATTTTTGATTTATGAAAATTAGCGTATGACGACAATGGATTCACGAGCCGCTTGACTTACATTGCTCTCGGGCCATAGTGATTGTTAAAGTCAAGATATCGTTACTCATGCCAAGACCTGTGTGGCGGTGGGGGAGGAATAAAACATTGAGGTGCCGCATGCATCAGCGCCGAAAAACCCCCCAAGCACTCACCTGGATACTGCTGTCCAGGCAGTTGTGGCCGTTGATAAGTAAACTTTGCACGCGGATCTTGCAGACACATCCACTCGATGGTTGTGCTGGAGATACCCAGCGTCCCGTACAACTGCTGTAACTGGTCCACAAGGTGGTCAATCCTGATATTGGGTATGAAAGATGAAATGGGGGGAGTGGATCGGCCAAGGCGTTGGAAGGTCTTGAAATCTTGCAACTGGTAAAGTTTTCGCCGAAAAAAGCCTGGATAAACGTTAATCGTCATATGAAGAAAAAAAATTTCGGTTCAGTTCAAAAGCGGAAAATGCTAGGTTTGCGGCCAACCTTGAAAGATAATCTCAGTAGATCCCTGTGAACCATCGGCCAAAGTGATTTTGTGAACAAAGGGATCGACTGTATTCAACTCGAACTCAACATCGTAGCCCTTGGTTTTTATTTTCTCCAGTATGGATGTATCGATGAAATACTTGAAAAGCAAGGCCAGCGGGAACTCGCCCATAAACCAATCGGTGTCACTAGAATTTCGTACAAGCTTGGCGTCGGAGTTGCCTTTAGCTGCTGGGTTAGAGAGCCAGTTAGTGTCGGATTGACCAAAGTCTAAAGCGAAATAGTCCGTTAGCCTTGTCAACAAGGCATTGGTAAAGAGCATGGTGAAAGAAGAGGTGTGTCGGTTTACATAGGTGGGTGGGTTTAGTCTTTATCCTGTCCGTCAAAGCCGAACGACTGACCGAAGCAGCGATAAACTTTGGCAGAATATGAGGAATACGACGGACTTTCATTAAGTCACGTTTCAGCTCCAGAATTGAAATAACACTCAGGCACCGACCTTTTATTTATTTGGGAATTTATTTTTCTCGCTTCTCCTCATCCCGAGCAACTCTCCATTCTTTTCATCGCAATCACTTCAATATGGAACCTAGAACGAAACTCTCGGGTTTGGGACTTCTAGCTTGTGTGGTCTTATTGTCCATGTTCTATCTTTCATCAAGCTATACCCAAGTTGTTCGAAATATACCCTCTGAATACGTCCAGGAAGAACAACTTCCAATAGTCAATCAATCTGATCTTATTCTGAAGCAAACCTTTCCCGAGCCAGAGGAAAACTTCATGAACAAGATCCGAGATCAGTTGTCACAGGACAACATCCTTGTTATCGCCACTGCCAACTATGGTATGCGGGATTACGTCTACAATTGGATCATATCTTTGGAGAAAACTGGTCATGAGAAGTATGTGGTGTTTTGCATCGACGATGACCTTTACAACCATCTCGAAGCCAGCGGCTACGGCAACCATGCGTCGAAGATTCCATACGAATGGTTCCACAAACCTATTGAAGCAACTTTCTCAGACTATTACTCACCAACCTATGCAGCCATCACCCACGCCAAAACTTTAGTGGTCCAGCGATTGCTTTACTTTGGATTCACTGTCTTTTTCTCAGACGTCGATATCGTATGGCTTCAGCCACATGTGGTTGACTTTTTGGCTGGCCGACTGAGCGTGCGTCAAGAGTCCCATGTGTTGTTTCAACAAGAAGGATATGATCAAACCAACATCAACAGTGGATTTTATATCATGCGGCCCGAATATTCAATGAAGAAGCTACTAGCAGACACCATTGAGCTTCAGGATACGGGTGAATATACACAACAAGGCGCCATGAACAAGGCGTTGTATAATCTTGATATGGATATGCGCACTTCCCCTGTGGTTTTATTGGATCTGTTCCTATTCCCCAATGGATTCGCCTACTTTCAAAACGATGTACCGCAGCGATGGGGTGTCCAACCCTACATTGCTCACGCAAACTACCTGGTAATTAATTATTTATTTTTTTGGGTGGTGACACCGGTACCACAACTGCTGCTGCTGGTTATTTTTGGGACTAACTGCTTATTCTTATTTAGGTTGCTGACGAAAAGCGTGATGCGTTGCGACAACATGGATTGTGGTATGTCAACCAGACCATGGTAGAGACAGCCGATGCCGCAGTGAGCCAGCTACATAAGGAGCAGGAGGAAGGGGACGAAAAAGTGAAATGAGCCAGAAAACACTTTGTATAATTGTCACAGTGTATTGTAAATACCTATTCATCGTAATGTAACTAGCTTTATTTCTCTTCCAGTTAATGTGTTGCTCTTTCCATTTAATATTACACCATAGAACCCACGTCTATAAACTATGTATCCCATTTGACTTTTTGTTTTCGCCTGTGTTTTGGCAGTGAATGTTAGTCCGGGCCTATATTGACAAAAAAAAAAAAAGAACTGTGGCCGCTGTGACACCACCTTTCAAGCTAAGCTACGGATTCTGTGGAAATTAGTTTGAAGGTCAGATTAGAAAGTGTGTATCAGTAGCTGCATATGCAAGTCACTCCAAGCCTACGGTGTTGTGAAACATGGGTATTGTAGAGCAGAAGGAAGTCATTGTTGCACTGAAAGGGAATCGGATGGGGTCCATGGTGTAGAGCTGTATCTTGAACGTCTACAGCGTCGTAAGCATTTCAGGCACGGCTGTACAAGACGAAGCAGCCGCTGAATCAAATATATACCTTGGACGAATCACACCATAGTATTGAGTCTCTTATAAAATAATGCATCCTGTTCGACCGCATCACGCTTTTGGCCCTACAGCGCTATGTTGGCATAGACGCGCGCCATTTCATTCGCCAAAAGCTAAAATTTTAAAGTAACGTCCTCATGCAGAATTTGGCAAAGGCAAATCACCGCTATCCACACTTTCGGCTCCTATTCAATACACAATGACCACAGCCGTCGAAGAATCAACCACAACGACATCAAACACTCCTTTACGAAGGTTATATCCTGGTTCACACGTCGAGGTAGGCATATAGAGCCTCTTGTGCACACTGCTGGCCATGTAACCAACGGGCTTTCCACATTAGGACACCTTCCAATGGCCAACGCTAGCATTAGACGACATTGAGTCGTCATTTTCAGTACAAGAGTACTTGCAACAACTGCTGAGGGAAGATTACACTGACATACAGCGCTTAATAGACTTGCCAGAGGGCATCGATGCGGAGATCTGGCAATATGAGCATTTGAGGTACCCTTCGCACAACATGGTGAAGGGCTGACCTGATCCTAGCTAAACGTCTCCATTCCTCTACTTTTGCTTTATCAGACAGCTATGCTCGCAACTGAATTATCTTATACCCAGTCTGGATTCCGAATGCACCGTAGACTCCTGTCCTGAAATGAAAGCTGACGGCTGGCTGTACCTTTGCGCAGCGCATCCAGTCACCAAATCCGTATGTAGAACTATTAGCTTGTCACCATCGAATCCATTGCTCACGCTGGCTGATCTTCAATAGTGCCCTGCCATCGACTACATCGTTCATACTTTGGACGGAGCCACTATGCTCTTAAACAATTCAAAATACTTTCCTAGCAGGTATGTGACGCGGCGTGGCATGGCAAGTACACGAATACGTGTGCTAACCGAACAAAAACCTCTTCTTAGGATCTCTATTCCAGAACCTTCATTGAAACATCTTCAAGCCATCGCACGTCGGTTGTATCGTATATTCGCACATGCCTACTTTCACCATAGGGAAGCATTTGAGTTTTTTGAGGTGAGCTAGTCACGTCCTAATTTTACCACCATGGGCTTGATCTAATGCTTCTGATACTTTCTTCTAGAATGAAACATGCTTACATAGCAGATTCGTCCGCTTGTCCAAAAAGTATTCTCTCATTCCAAAGTCCCTCCTCATCATACCTCGCAGTACAGATGGCGACGAACCATCGTCAAACTCACCGACGTCTGAATCACCTGCTATTCTATCGCGACGGTCTTCAACATCTACTGTACAGGAGATACCCGATGACACCGATACATCTACTATTGGCGCGGAGGATGCAGGAGATGAGGATCAAGGCTCGGAACCAGCAGACCGAGTGGACGATGAATAAGGCGGCAGGATCTTGTGCAGTCAGGTGGATGGGCTCCTTGGCTCATATTTATTCAAACTTCTTTTCGTTATTCTGATTCATTCATTCATCCTTTCCGTGGAATATTGTATATTGTTGATTACATGGAACTTGATGCATGTCCTAGGTCATGTTCTACTTATTGCGCTACAGTTCATACTGTGAATTGAAAATCAAACTTACTGCGGTTTCAATGGGTAGCTTACAAGTGAATCAAATTTCTCGTTTTATTCATTGCTTTGCTACCTATACATTGTGGCCAGCCAGCACTAGCTCCACCATTGCTGCCACTTTTTTCGCTCCTCTTCGGAGCCGTCCAATATAAAATGAATCTTCTTAATCTCTTCAAACCCTTCGGAAATACTGGGTTCCTGCAATTTGGAGCTGAACATTTGGAACACCATGCGTGATAGTAACTCACGACCACCTTCAGTAGCATTGTACGCCCGGTAGCTGTTATTGTGCTCAGCGAGTTCCCTCGAAGCAGTGAACCAGAAGCATCGAATTTTGGCGTTCCTGTCTTTGGCTGCTTTAATATAATACTCGCGAGTGTATCTCTCTGCATTCGTGTTATCTAGTATTGGAACCGTCAGCGTTGGCCTTTAGACATACAATGCATGATCCATAGCATTTACCTATCACCACTGATTTCCCTTCTGCTAAAGCAGCACGACAAGCTGCTATACACTTTTCTCGAGTCTTCAATGTGTCCTATTTGAGACGGATGGGTGAGATGACCGACGCATGTATAAAGGATCACTAGCTTCCAAAGCGTTACCTGATTGATATAGGCATAGCCCTTGGGCACCAGATGCTTATGGGCAAAAGTGGATTTACCACTAGCTGGGTAGCCGACAAAAACAATCACTTCTTGGTGACCATCTTCTGGAACAAGTGGCGTATCGGCAGGCGAACACACTGGACCTACAGGTTGTATAGGATGTGTCAGCGACCATGGACCGTAGCGACGATGAATGCTCAATACACACCTTCTGTCGTCGCCTTCTTGGGATCAAACCCGCCCCAGCTAAACTTGACGGGCGATTCATTAAAAAAGAACTCCTCCGGCGTTTGGAATTGAATACCAATATTGTCTGCAAACTTGCGGTCGCCACATGAATGGTCCTTCTTCGCCTTGACTTTCCACCCTTCAGCTCTTCCAGCTGCATCTCCAATATAAAAACTCTCTCCTAGATCTGTTTAGAGATCAGTTTCAGTCGCTGAACATTTCACAAAACATCAAAAACAGCTTCTACCTATTTTTCCATTGACACTCTTCTGTAGCAACTCCCACATGCCCGTCGCCGGCTTTCTGTTTATATCCTTCTTCATTGCTGCAATCAACCTCACTGAAATGGAGAGCTGACCCAAGGTATGTAAGTCAACTTTTGCCATCGAGCCCCAGCACGCAACAGTCTCCATGCTATTCTTTTCGATGGTAACTGTAATTCTCCCTACCTGGGATAATATAGTGGCCAGCTTGCGCTTGAAGGCTGTCACTTTCGATGCAGAGTTCAGTCCATTTTGATTGCTCAGTATGGCAATAGCATACCTAAATGTCCAACATCAGAATACGTCCCATCCATCCCTCTATCTCTTCAGCCAGCCTTACCCATCCTTGTGTAGACTTTCTAACTTCTTGGGCACAGACGCGCTTAGCCATTTCCAGTCATTTTCATCTTTGGCAAACGTCCTACCGCTCGCTGTCAATATAAGCGTTCCATCCTTTCCATGCCACATTAGTCCCCGTCCGTAGCATAATTGCATTCACCGTCGTACTTACAAGATCAAAGGCAGCAATTTTAGTCCGAGTATCATCCGATTCACGGGTCACGGCGCTTAATATGGAATCATTGGATCCTTCCCATGAGATATTGAATTTCTTGGAGGCTTGAGGTGACGTAAAGAACGGATGAATGGTAGCATTACTAGCTCCTCGTGCTATGACGGGATTTTTTCAAGAAAGCCGCCCAAGTTTAGTAGGGTTATATTGTCTCGACGTCCAGGAACGCGGAGTACATACCGATCTTGGCTGGAGCTTCCTTTTCTAACGCGTCTGCTCTTCTCTTGCTGGCTACAGCATGTTGATGAGTAGTTGAGTAATCATTTCGAGAACAACAGATCAGAACGTTCCAAACATTGCGACTACGCACCATGTTCATTAGTGCCCATGCTTGAGATTGGACCGCAGCTGAGGGGTTGGGCCGCCGAGGGAAAATAAATTCAACAGGCTGCTGTCGTGACGCTGGATTTTTTTTTTTTAGGGTCTTCAATTTTGGAAACATTTCATTCCAGTGACAATAAATATATCCCTTCGATCATCCATCGACTATAAGAACCCGATGCCATCACACATTGATTGTCTCCAAGAACCTCTGGTCTCTAACACTGAATTGAAATGAAAGTCTATCTACCTCTCCTAGCCGTGGCTGCTCTGGCTGCCGTCGCTACAGCTGCCGAACCTGGTCAATGCGATTGTGATGATGATGATACTGGAGTAAGATTTCAGAGCTCCTTCTGCTTCAGACCTCTGCAAACATGAATAATTTATTTCTTTCATTATGTGTAGTGCCTGGAAGACTGTGTGACTTCTACCAACACATGTCTCGCCGATTGTGGAGCAGACAATACCTGTTATACCGATTGTTTTGTAGGATGGCCAGGTGCTAACAATGCACCACAAAATTTCCCACAGCAAGATGGAGCCTCTACCAATTCGTCTTCCTCCGGTCTCCCTGGCCAATCCGTTCCTCCTATGGCCACAAACATGTCGGGAAGTAGCATGATGCCATCGGCAACTTGGAGTGGAAGCATGCGCATGAGCCCGTCTTCATCCATGCCCTTTGGTATGCCTTCGGCAGGAGCTGCAGGCAATAATCAACGCTGGAATCAGCCCATGAATACTGCTGACAAGACACATGTGAAGTACGCTGGCGCTGCGGCTGCCGTCTTCGCAGCGGGCATGATTCTCTTGGCTTAAACATCGAGTTGTTCCTTTTGTCATAGACTTTGCATATTCAATTCTTCATTAAACTGCACCATCACTTTTTAAAGCATCATTAATTTTCCGTAGTGGCTACAGCACAGGTTTGGGCGTCAGAGAATGGCGTCTCCCTGCCACGCTACGCAATGTAATGTCATGCATAGGTTCCTAAGTTGCTGCCACCGCACTATTCGACTGGACGGTTGCCATATTGACAGCTACCCGATCCATAGGAGTAGTTCACAGCTAAAATGGGTCTGTAAATATTCGTATTACATCCCTTCCTAATTGGCATGTAAAGGTGGTATTCGGTACAGTCCCAATATACCCAGACCTTCCGATCGTTGCCAACTTGAGCGGCGGGGTATCCATGGAGCCAGCACCATGGCTTTGCACAGCAGCGTGCCATATTACAAACACAATGTTCCCCTTGTACCAACCACTATGATATCGGTTGCTGCCCCCAGTCGTCTTTGTGGAACGTCCGTGACGTAAAGGTTGAGAACCGGTTTCAATGGAGTCCATGCGAATTTATAATTTTTTAGGGTCCGGTGGAATTACATCCCATCCCCGTTGCAGTACACTACTGGATACGCCCTGAATATCTTTTCTTGAACGGAGTGTCTTTGTACTAAATGTAGATGCCGTGAATCAAAATAAACAGACGGTATAGGACGATCGATGGTATTTGGCGCCATCCATTTGCTCGTTTGCCTACACCAGCCAGCCCATCCAATGTTAGGCATAGGCAACGAGGAAGGGGATAATCACGACAATGTTTATCCTCATCCCTCACCCTTTTTTATGTACATTCTCCTTGGTGCTGTAAAACAAATGACGGTGACTAGTTTGGGTCATTTTTCTTTCTTCTTTTTGGATCGAAACGCAACTTTTTCTTTTTGGCTCTGGCTTTGTCTGCAACACTGGCAAATCTAATTGAGCATCATCATCATCACCACCTACATCTTTTAACCTTGCATAGACGATGAGAGCAGCAAACCGACATAGTTATTCCTATCAAAGCGAAGAACATAGACGCTTGACGCTCGTTATGCCGAGAGGTAGGATGGTTTCAAAGATCAGCTTGGCAGTGCGTACAAAGATTGACGATCTCTCACACCTGGAACACAACAAAAAAAAAAAAAAACTACCCATGTGCACTGACGATCTCCATCTATTTATTACATACAACCTTGATTAAAATGTAATCACGCACATAATTTTTTTTCTTTTCTTCATTTCCTCTCTTTTCACCATACTTCAGAAAGGCGTCAGATACCAGCCATCTTCAGCGAGTCGAGTCGACGACACTCCAGTACTCCAATGTCCAGTACTTCTCAACAGTTCAATCCGAGGTGAAGTGAAAGCTTACCAGCGTGCGATGATAATTTCAACCTCTCACCTTTAATCTTGATTTACCTTAGCATGCATGAAAGACGTCTACGAAAGGATTCGGGTAATGTGGCTGAATGGAAAGCGATTTTGGTAAAAACGGTCCAACGCTAACGCAACCCAACAATGACAGTGGGAAGAAGGCTGCTGACAGGTATAACTTCCACCATTCGCTCTAAATCAGGGTATTCTAAACACGGTGTTGTCCCGACTCCATTCACGACCAGCGAAGAAGCCACTACCGACAGTTCCTTCAGTGGAGATTTAACAGAAACATGCACAAGTGAGCCACTCCAGGAGATCTATTGCAGCAGCGATGTAGACTCCGACAGAGAAGGATATGAGAAGAGTCCTCGTAGTAGCCATCATAGTACTGGCTATAGAGCCACGCTCACATCCGGTGCTCGATCCAGCCAAACCGATAGCGACAGTGGAGACAACAAAACCACCACCACCAAAAAAAGTCTGAAATCTCTCTTCAGATCGACAACTTCATCCAAACGAGGGAGTGCCGGAGACTATGCAGTTCAGGAGAAGGTAACAGAAACTATTTACATCATGGCTTTACAGACTCTTTCTCCAACTTTTTTGATTCGCTTTCCAATTCATGCTTACCGTCAACCCCAACTAGTCCAATACCGCTATGCACTCCAACAAGTTTGAAGATGCATGGTCATCTACACCCTCTGCGGCAACCCTCTCGCAGGCATCACGTCGTTCTATACAATTGCATCAAACCAATCCAATGATGGATAAAGACGAGCAACCGGAAACGGCTCCTAAACGCTCATCCGTACAAATGCTCGTATCTCCATTCACACGAAAGACGAGCATAAGAATGGTAGCAGAGTCAACCAGCAAATATTCCATATGCTTGCCTTTGGAAGACGATGGCAGTCCCGCTGACTCCAGTAACCAAATGCTACCCCATGAGCAGCACGAAGAAAGCGACTCCAGTATAGAAAGCTTGATGCGAAATGCGTTTGCTAGTGATGTCGACATCAGCCTCTTGGACAAAGCTGACTTCTCATTTCCCGTCTCACCCAGTTTCGACGCTCCTAGGACGGATACGAAAAAGAAAGCTCGCAGTGCCACACTTTCACGTCGACGCACTCGTTCTGGATACGCCACGACTAGAGCACGCGAGACGGATGACTATCTAAGCCCATATACAGATGATAACCTCAAAGTGCCATCGCCGAAACGCTCAAGTTTCATTAGCATGCTCACTCCCAGAACCACATCCCCTACTGGCTTTTCGTCGAAGCCCGTCACACCCAGGCAAAGTTCCAGTGAAAGTACCAGTAGAGGACTCATGGCACTGGGCAACGGCAAAAAAGGCTCTTCTATACGCAGTGTGTCCAGTCAAGCCGTACCGACCATTCAAACCGAAATTGCAGAACCGACCTTCATCCGATCTAGGGCTATCAGCATGACTCTTCGTGGAGTCGATAGCAAAGTTAACCTTTGCAACAATTTTCTTGGCTTGGGCAGCGACCTGATGGGATTAACCACCAAACACATGAAGCACTTTAAATCCGAAAGCGATCTTATCAAACTCAAGGTGAACACCCCTCCGTCAAGGTCAGAGTCGGATCTCTCCAAATATCCCTCGAAAACTTCTTCAGAGAGCAAAGAATCGTCTTCAAGCAATACAACTTTGAATGAATCCAGACCTCATCGGCGTTCAGCTACCATGCGACGACCTACTAGTCCTACCCTTGAAGATGACAGTTTAATATCGCTATTGAGGTGATTATTTTCCAACGGCACCCATTTACGCTAGTCAATTTTAACTCTGACTTGGCTTTATACAGCAACAAACTAAGGAGGCCGGCTCGTAATCGTAGCGCAACTTCCAAACCAGTATCTGAGGTAAGGCATCCATGAAGAAGCGATCGGCAGCCTACAGTACTATTGACATACGCTATCGCGCCACCAAACGATACGATATAGATATTCGTTCCCACTGGTGTACCCCTTTCACCTACATGTAAGTCATGTGGTTCATCTATACAAAGCCTAAGTAACTTCACTCATCCCTCTCCTCCCACAGCTCCATGGCTGCGCCAGAGTGTGGGTGGCGAAGGAAATGTTTTACATGTCTTAGAGGATGGCAATGAAGTGCTGATCATGGAGATGGTTTCTGGAAAACTACAAGTTGTTGCAGGTACAGCAGAGAGATTATTTATTAAACTGGCCGATGAGACCGCCCAAGGTAAGAAGTGTGGGTCCACATGGCAGCTGGTATCATAATGTTTGTAACTCTGACGGCTTCCTAAATTCAAACTCTAGATATGGACTATGTGGATACCTACTTGCTTTGCCATTCGTATTTTTGCAGTCCCGCCGAGTTGCTGGAGAACTTAATGGCCAGATATCCTTTTTGTCGCTGTGGATTGAATCGTTGCAAAGATGCATCCAATGATACCACATTGGCCTACCTCCTTGACATGTCGCTTATACGTTTCATTTAGAAGCTACGCCAGGTGAAGCAGACTACTTTGAAAAGTGGCAGCGCACTATTCAAGTCAAGTACGTAGCTATTCTCTCTATAGATAAATGCTAGCTGTGATGTTGATATAATTCTTCTACTAGGGTGCTTAATGTCATTTCACGATGGCTGAAGCTACAGTATGAGGATTTTCAGTGTAATGAGATACTGCTGCAGCGACTACAGGCGTTCTTGGACGGCGACATCCAGAGAGCTGGATTTAGGTCAGAAGCCGCATTACTCAGAGAGTCGATTCAGCTACAATGCGCTCGTCACGCTCGTCCCGTTCATACCCTCATCACCGTGGCCGCTGATCCGCTTCTTCAAACCGATCGATACTTACATGCCTCATCTAGTCCGAAAACCCCATTGCCTAAATCCAGCACCAAAAGCAGCTTTGTCTCCCGTCGACCGTCTGGAGCATCCAGCATCTTTTCGTTCGTCTCCAGTATCACCACCCCGCCTGAATCACCCACTTTACCCAACGTCTCCTCGACTTCGCTTTCCATGTTCGAGAGCAAGGAGATTGCTCAGTATTTGACGCTGGCGGATTTTTATTATTTCAAATGTATCTCTGCTTTTGAATTTCTTAATGGTACCTGGCGAGCCGGCGCACAGGCAGGGAACACTATGGAGTGCAACTCCTCTCCATCGCACAGCTATGTTCTCAGAATGACGAAAAGAGCAAATATGGTGAGTGGGGTAGGGGGTTCATCCTAGGGATCACGCTGAACCATTTTAACATTTAATTTGTTTCAAATGACTACTCGTCTAATCCCAAATCTTTTGTTCTAGTTGAGTCGCTGGGTCGCCCATGAAACACTGGTCGCCAAAGGCATGAAACAGCGTCGCTTAATGATGAGAAAATTCATTGACGTGGCAAGGGTAAGTCGTCCTATTTTACAGCTGAAGCACATCCATATATGCACCTTTTAAACACACCGGTGGGTCATAGCTCTGCCTCGGTTGGAACAACTACCATACTGCCATGGTGATTGTGATGGGTCTCAAATCAAACAGCGTTCAGAAATTGGAGGAGGCATGGCAGGTTAGTTGACATATAGGGGACGACCATTGCTTTTTTTTTTTTTTTGCGGGAGGTGGGCGGGAGAGGAGCTCATATCGTTCTCTCTAACCATCCGCTTGCTCTCCAGTCCATGCCCAGTCGAGATTTAGCCACCATGAGGTCGCTTGAAAAGCTTCTGGACGTTTCCGGCAACATGCGTCCCTATCGAACAGCTTTCTCATCGGCCAAAGCACCTGCAATTCCTTTCTTCCCCATTGTACTCAAAGACTTGACGTTCTTTGTCGAAGGGAATAAGACGTACTTGGAGGACAACTCGACGGATGTTGCAAGTAGCTACACTTCCATGAAGGATACACGACGACCGTCGCCTAATGAGCTCTCTTTGATCAATTTTGCAAAGTTCCGTACCGTGACTCGGTTTGTCACCAGCATGCTTGCTCTTACTTCTGAGAACTACTCCTTCGCAGGCTTGTTGGAGACCACGCCGTTCTTCAATTTGACCGCCGGTTTCGGAGTAGCACCCGACATGAACACCTCCATAGGCCCACTCGATCTTTTAGCACAAACCATCGAAAGACGTATTCAAATTGTACCAACAAGTCATACCTCCTCATAATGTAGTATTTCACTTATAATATATTCGTAATGCATGAGGGCTTTGTTTAAAAATTTCCAATAGGGTCGTGGCTTGTGACGGGCAAATCTGTCATCGGCAAAATCTGGCTCAGTGAACATACTGTAGTCAATCTTAACAGCAACCCAGTGATTCCATTGCATGATTGCTCAAGACGTTTTATATTGTGGCGGTACGTGTGCATTGACAACCTGTTACAGAAAAGGATATAGCAGCCTTTTGACTAATCCAATGGTCTGATCCAACAGTGTGCTCCATGCCACCAGAGGTAAGAACACTTATAGCCATGCATTGCCAATTCCCCCCCCCCTTCGTCTAACCCACTACCATTCCTACAGTTTTGCGAATTCAGTGGAACGCAAGGAAAATGCAAGGCATGGCTACAGAAGAATAATGCAAAGGAATTTGCAAGATTATATGGGCAAACGGAAGGTGCGATTCCTTCTCCTGATCTTCTCCGTTTATTAACCCTGCTCCAACCCACTAACCCATGCTATCCTAGAAATCGAAAAGGGTGTTGAAGGCATTCAGATTGAAGAAAAGCCAGAGGAAAAGAAGAACGACCGATCGCTCGTCAAGGATAAATCAGCTCAACTTGAAGCCAAGCTCGAGAAGGAGAACAGGAAGAAGATGGAATCACACGTTATCATTAAGCGAGTGGAGAGAACAAAGCGAAAATGTGTCACCACCATCCATGGACTTGAAGTTTTTGGTAAGACGCATGGCAGTGTACTAAAGTGGGAGACGACCTATTTTTGACCCCATTTTGCATAGACGTTGAGTTGAAGAAGGCAGCCAAGATGTTCGCCAATCGTTTCGCATGTGGATCGTCGGTTGCTAAGAATAACCAGAACCAAGACGAAATTGTCGTGCAAGGCGATTTTTCTGATGAATTGTTAGACCTTATTCTAGCCAACTGGCCTCATGTAAGTTTGCTCAAAAAAAAAAAATTCTTGACTGGGATCGTCGGGGGGCCGATCAATAAACTAATAACTTTTATTACCTTGCATATGATGACTAGATTCCTGAGGATAACATCGACCTGGTTGAGGATAAGAAGAAGAAGTAAAATAATAAAAAATAAAATACCTTGGCAATAGGGATGATGGAGTCAAAGGAGCCCATCCATTAAATCCCACTCTACTGTAAAATCACAGTTGCACAAAAAACTATCCAAATTATATGAGAAGGGCGACTTAAACCCGACAAAGGCAAAACTTGATTCCCCTTCCCATTCATTTCATCTCATCTCTAAACCTCAACCGCAATGGGGTCCAGATTCACCATGAGCAGAGATCGCTTAGCTGAGCTCCGTGTTAGTATCACACTGACTCTATCTGGGGGTATTTTTCGTTACTGAATTTTTTTTTTTGGCTTTGGTTCATAGGGCAATACCCGCGAAAACGACAGAGGATATGGGTAAGTAGCTTAAGCAGATGAAGCGGGCGGTAACCATCAGGCTGATGTCTTCCTTTTTATTTTCTTCTTCCTATATATTCAGTCGCCTGAGCGATGAATACGACGAACTACCTCCACCCATGCCCACCTCATACCAACGTTCTCCTACTCCTCCACGAAGTGCCAGCTTTCAAAGTGATCGCGATGACTACTCCCATAGACAATCTCCTGTACCGCCATCACCTGCCTATCAAAAGTCCTCGCGCGGTGATCGATATGCCGAACCTAAATATAGCGATCATTACGAAATGACCCCGCCGCCAGCGAAGATGGGTGGGGATGCATTGGCTTCTACCGAAGGCTTTTTCAATGAGGTATGTGTGGAGTGGTGTATCAGGGATCGACGGGAATTTACTCACCACAACCTATGGATCAGGTCGAGGGCATAAAAGAACTGGTTCGCAACATCAATGACCAAATCATCAAAATTGAAGAGTTACATAGTTTATCGTTGGTCAATATCAATGAATCACAGGCAGAGGAAAATTCTCACCAATTGGATCGTATGGTCAAGCGAACGACCAAGTTGAATAACCAAGCAAAAGACAGAATTAAAGGTAAGTGGGTGGAAAAACCGGATCCAGCCAGCCCACGCAGGCAGAAAAAAAAAATTAAGACTCCTATTATAGCTATCGAGCTGAGCAACGCTCGTATGCCACCAACGTCTGGCGAGCTTCCTATGCGTAAAACTCAGGTGAGTGTCCCATTTTCAGGCCCCCATTTCCACTCGGCTTCTAACGCAATTTCGGATGATAGCATGCTGCTTTGAAGAAACGGTTCTTGGAAACCATTCAGCGATATCAGGATATTGAAAGAACTTTTGAAAAGAAATACCGCCAAAGAGTGGAGAGACAAATCCGTATTGGTAAGGATGAGAACGGTTGGAGTGTTGCTTGCTTGCCTGCTTGCTGATACCCACATGTTGTAGTCAAACCTGATGCCTCACCTGAGGAAATTGACCAAGTACTGGATTCTGATGAGCCACCACAAATTTTTGCACAATCAGTAAGTCCCCCGATTGGAAAAACGCCACCTCGCTAGGTTACATTCTGACACCCTCCCTGCAGCTTATGCAACAACAGCGATCAGGGCAAGCCCGCGCTGTCCTCAGCGAGGTTCAAAACAGACATGTTGACATTAAGAAGATTGAACGAACTATTTTGGAACTGCATGAGCTTTTTATCCAGATGAATATGCTTGTTGAAAACCAGGGCGAGATGCTAAAGGAAATCGATATGCATGCACAGGATACTGTCATTCATCTGGAAGAAGGCAACAAACATGTTGATAGAGCAATTACAAGTGCGAAGGCCACTAGAAAGGTAAGGAACGGACCCGGCATGATGCGTCGCAACTGTTGTCTAACCCCACCTTCTAGAAAAAATGGTTCTGTGTTATCCTGGTGATCATATTACTCATAGTAGCAGCATTCTGCATCTGGTGGTTCGCATTCAAGGTAAGTGTTTATGGGTGCGCTGTGGATCATGACTATACCTGGACTAATGGACTCTCTCAATAGCACAAGGGCGTCACTCTTCCCGGTGGCCAATAGCTAAACCCCCAATGGTACATTTAAAACCTGCATTGTAAACTTCTTTATCTTCTTCCCTTCTATCTCCTCCCATCCTTGAATTACAGTACACAAACCAAACCGATTTCACTATTATACAGATGCTAGTCTGACTGCATTGAGAAACAAAACAAAAACTGATTCTCTTGGGTGGATTTCTAAATAATTGTGGTGATAGAATAGGTTGATTGGTATACTACATTATAGAGATGATGGCGTGGGTTGGTTTTCTTCTACTGGCAGTGACTTTTCGTTGATGTGGGAAGAATTTTTCTCCTCGACTGTCTGTGACGACTCGCCCATATCTGCTTCCTCCACTTCATCGTCGCTCTCATCATCTGATTTCTCTTCTTCGCTTTCAGATGAGACTTCTTCGGAAGAACTCTCTGTAGAGGCATCCACCGACTCATCCATGACTTCGGGCTCGACATCTGGTTGCGATTCGACAGGTTTTTTCGACTGTTCGACCAATGTATGCAAACCTCTAAAGGAAGGGGTTTCTGATTTTTCTTCCAGAGTGACGGCAGGAGCTGCACTGTCTATCCAGACATGGAAAATTGGGAATTCGCAGAGTGATTCGCCTTTCAGAATATCGGCCAGAGGAGAATCCATCATGGGCGTCATATCAATGAAGGTGTTTTGCTGATCGGCCGGAACGAACTCTTTCTTCAACCCAACTACAAAGCTATCTGTCCCTGAATCGATGTACTTTTGCAATTGAAATCTGGTCAGTGCATCTGAGGCATGTGGGGTGTCTGTCGTCAAGATGTCATCTAGTAACTCTCTCATTGGTTTTGACGCTGGAATACTATAAACATGTCAGTAGGGGGTTGTTAAAACATATATTCCACTTTCTGTAACAGCATACCGATGCAGTAACACTCGCTTGTCTTCGCAAGCGGGAAATATGAATTCTACGGTCCAGAATATCAACCTTTGTCTGTTGCATTACAGCTCGATCAGTGAAATATACATAAAATACATATAGGCTGCTCCACACTGCTTACTTCGGGTTATAGTTTGTGCTGTTGATCTTTCTCCTCTTCATTCCCGCAGGAAGCAGAGAAAGCTTTATGCCTGCTCGCTCAGCTTGATTTACCAGTCCTTTCTGCTTCCACATGGCATTTTTGGATACCGCTTTTTTCGGGTCGTTCTTCATATTCAGGCGAGACAGGGTATCAGCTTGTCGAGACATATCTTCCAGATATCCATAGTCTATAGTTTTTGATGTCAGCAAAGGGAGACGCCGGTATTGCACGATTTGAGAAACTTACCGCTCATCATATCGTTATAGCTGTACTGCTTCAGCGGAACGTAGTGGGTCTTGCTGCGTTCGCCTGAGCAGCCCGTCTTTATCTTGTGCGTCTTCGAGCAATCCAGCGAGCAAGATTTGAATGCACATCGAGGACATTTATACTTGAAAGGATTCTTTTTGCAGCATTCGCACAATTGCATAGTTGAAGTGTTGGAGCTAGTCAAGGCCAA